ATATTATAAGAAATGAAAAAGAAGTTACAACAGACACCACAGAAATACAAAGGATCATAAGAGACTACTACAAGCAACTATATGCCAATAAAGTGGACAACCTAGAAGAAATGGACAAATTATTAGAAAGGTACAATCTCCCAAGACTGAACCAGAAAGAAATAGAAAATATGAACAGACCAATCACAAGCACTGAAATTAAAACTCTGATTAAAAAACTCCCAACAGGGCTTCCCTGGTGGCACAGTGGTTGAGAGTCCACCTGCCAATGCAGGGGACACGGGTTCATGTCCCGGTCTGGGAAGATCCCACATGCCGTGGAGCGGCTGGGCCCGTGAGCCATGGCCACTGAGCCTGCACATCCAGAGCCTGTGCTCTGCAACGGGAGAGGCCACAACAGTGAGAGGCCCACGTACTGCAAAAAAACAAAAAAACAAAAAAACCCCAACAAACAAAAGTCCAGGACCAGATGGCTTCACAGGCGAATTCTATCATACATCTAGAGGAGAGTTACCACCTATCCTTCTGAAACTATTCCAAAAAATTGCAGAGGAAGGACACTCCCAAACTCATTCTTTGCGGCCACCATCACCCTGATACCAAAACCAAAGATACCACAAAAAAGAAAATTACAAGCCAATATCAGTGATGAACAAGATGCAAAAATCCTCAACAAAATACTACCAAACCAAATCCAACAATACGTTAAAAGGATCAAACACCATGATCAATTCGGATTTATCCGAGTGGTGCAAGGATTTTTCAATATCTGAAAATCAATTAGTATGATACACCACACCAACAAACTGAAGAAGAAAAATCATATGATCATCTCAATAGATGCAGAAAAAGCTTTTGACAAAGTTCAACACCCATTTATGATAAAACAAAAAAACTCTCCAGAAAGTGGGCATAGAGGGAACCTACCTCAACATAATAAAGGCCATATATGACAAACCTACATCTAACAGCACACTCAACAATGAAAAGCTGGAAGCATTTCCTCTAAGATCAGGAACAAGACAAGGGTGCCCACACTCATCACATTTATTCAACATAGTTTTGGAAGTCCTAGCCATGACAATCAGAGAACAAAAATAAATAAAAGGAAACCAAATTGGAAAAGAAGTAAAACTGTCACTGTTTGCAGATGACATAATCCTATAAATAGAAAACCCTAAAGATACTACCAGAAAACTACTAGAGCTCATCAATGAATTCAGCAATGTTACAGGATACAAAACGAATACACAGAAATCTGTTGCATTTCTATACATTAACCATGAAAGATCAGAAAGAGAAATTAAGGAAACAATCCCATTTACCACTGCATTCAAAAGAATAAAAGCCCTAGGAATAAACCTACCTAATGAGGCAAAAGAACTGTACTCTGAAATCTGTTAGACACCAATGAAGGAAATTGAAGATCACACAGATGGAAAAATATACTATGTTCTTGGGTTGGAAGAATCAATATTGTCGAAATGACTATACTACCAAGGCAATCTACAGATTCAATGCAATCCCTATCAAATTACCCATGGCATTTTTCACAGAACTAGAACCAAAAATTTTACAATTTGTATGGAAACACAAAAGAACCCAAATAGCCAAAGCAACCCCAAGAAGGAAAAATGAAGCTGGAGGAATCAGGCTCCCTGACTTCTGACGATACTACAAAGCTACAGTCATCAAAACAGTATGGTACTGGCACAAAAACAGAAATATAGATCAACGGAACAGGATAGAAAGTTCAGAAATAAATCCCTGTGCCTATGGTCAATTCATCTACGACAAAGAAGGAACAATACAGTGGAGAAAAGACAGTCTCTTCAACAAGTGGCGCCGGGAAAACTGGACAGCTACATGTAAAAGAATGAAACTAGAACATTCTCTAACACCATACACAAAAATAAACTCAAAACGAATTAAAGACATAAATGTAAGACTGGATAATATAGGGAATTCCCTGGCAGTTCGGTGGTTAGGACTGTGCGCTCTCACTACTGAGGGCCCAGGTTCGATCCTTCGTCAGGGAACTAAGATCCCACAAGCTGTGTGGCACAGCCAAAAAATAAATAAATTTTAAAAAAAGACTGGATACTATAAAGCTCTTGGAGGAAAACATAAATCCTATTTTCAAATTTGACATATTTATGTCAAAGACAGGACACTCTTTGACATAAATCATAGCAATATCATTTTGGATCCACCTCCTATAGTAATGAAAAAAATAAACAAAAATAAACAAATTGGACCTAATTAAACTTAAAAGCTTTTGCATAGCAAAGGAAACCATAAACAAAATGAAAAGGCAACCCACATTATGAAAAAAAATATTTGCAAATGATGAGACCAACAAGGGATTAATCTCCAAAATATACAAACAGCTCATGCAGCTCAATATCAAACAACCCAATCAAAAAAATGGGCAGAAGATCTAAATAGACATTTCTCCAAAGAAGACATACAGATGGCCAATAAGCACATAAAAAGATGCTCAACATCACTTATTGTTAGAGAACTGCAAATCAAAACTACAATGAGGAATCACCTCACACTGGTTAGAATGGCCATCATCAAAAAGTGTACAAACAATAAATGCTGGAGAGGGTATGGGAAAAAGGGAACCCTTCTACACTGTGGGTGGGAATGTAAACTGGTACAACCACCACGGAGAACAGTATGGAAGTATGTTAAAAAACTAAAAACAGAAATACCATACGATCCAACAATCCCACTCCTGGACATATATCTGGAGAAAACCGTAGTTTGAAAAAGATATGGGTCCACGAATGTTCGTTGCGGCACTATTTACAATAGCCAAGACACAGAAGCAACCTAAATGTCCACTGATAGGAATGGATAAAGATGTGGTACATATATACAATGGAATACTACTCAGCCATAAAAAAGAATGAAATAATGTCATTTGCAGCAACATGGATGGACCTAGAGATTATCATACTAAGTGAAGTAAATCAGACAGAGAAAGACAAATATCGTATGATATCACTTATATGTGGAATCTAAAAAACTGATACAAATGAACTTATTTACAAAACAAAAACAGATTCACAGACTCTGAAAATCAACTTATGGTTACCAATGGGGACGTGTGGAGAGGAGGGATAAATTAGCAAGTTGGGATTAACATATACACACTACTATATATAAAATAGATAACCAACAAGGACCTACTGTATAGCACAGGGAACTGTACTCAATATTCTATAATAACATATATGAGAAAAGAATCTGAAAAAGAATGGATATATGTATAACTGAATCACTTTGCTGTACACCTAAAACACAACATTGTAGATCAACTATAAAATAAAAATTAAATTAAAAAAATAGAAAAAATAAAATGAAAACTTTTATTAATTAAAAAAAAATAGGCAGAAGGCCTGGAGGATAGAAAAAATAACTGCTCATATCCTTCTTCTTTTTAAAGTAAATTTATGCTCAATTTTTACAACTCGGAGCTGTAGCAAGTATGTCCCTCCAAAGGAACATCTCTGAGCAAGGAGTAGCTTGCTAGTGATCCTGAACATGCTATTTAATCTCTCATAAATAAGATGGGGATGATCATAACAACAATTAACACCTACCTTGCAGGTGATTCTCCGACAGAATCAGAGTTAATGTACCTAAAATATCCTGCACTGTACTTAGAACACAGTAGCATAGTAAAAACACTCAGCAAATGGTAGTTATGATTTTAAATGTTAAACAAACTCATGCAATTATCAGCTTTTTTTCCTTAGAAGACTGCTAGAGAGATTTATTGTGTCCTCCAAGGCTATTCAGCAGGTACTGGAGCTACAGCACAGTGAGTTTAATTCAAGAGAGAAATTCTGAACACAGAGTACTCAACTCCACAGGATTCCAAGACACAAATCTACCTGATCACTCTATCACAGTCGGCTTTATCATTACCTGCAAATGGCATGAAATAAAATATATATATAAGCATATGAAACAACTTTAATTACAAAAATAAACTTTATTTGAATTCTATATATACACACACATACACATACACACATACAGAGTACACCATACATTTACTTATTACATACAAATTCTGCTTCTCAACTACAAAGTTATGTATACAGTGTAAACAGTGGTAAGAATTCCTAAAAAGCCCCCACTGTACTTCTTTCATCCTAAGTCTCATACTTGTTTTCCTCCCACAGTTGGACTGGGTCTTATAATCCACATGTACATTTATTATAGTATTTGTTTCCCCCTAAAAAGAAACTCTAAAAAGCTCTTATTAAACCAAGTATATCTAACAAGTACTGTTATCTTAGATCCAAGAATATGTAATATTTGAGATAAGTAAAAGGTTTTTTATCTGTTTTGACTTCATCAGTAACACCTTATTCCATACATACAATTCCCTAGTCTTCCTATTACATTCCCAGTGATCTTGAAACGAAAACCAGGTCATGGCTATTGAACCTAGTCACCTTTTTTTTTTTTTTTGGTCAGAAAGCCAAACATTGATAATGCATTTTTGTATTTGCCTCAGAGCAGTTTGCTATGAATTAAGCCCAGCCTCCCAGCTCTCAGTCTTTATGGCTAAGATACATGCAGGTGAAAAGTAAAATGTTAACTCCATTACTTGTCTTCCTACCACATAACCATTTAAAATAAGTTTGCAAGGAACTAAGTGAATTACGTAATTGTGCTGACATAAGAGTCCCAATCTGTCTTTCCTCTACTAAGCAACCTCCTTTTCTATGTATTTGAAAAACTAATGGCAATAGTAACAGGGCACTAAGAAATGGATGACTGACAACAATGATATATGTAGAAATGTAGCAAACATTTCTTTCAAATAAATATATGCTCAAGGTCTGTATTTAAAGAACTGTATTGAGAGGTAATATCTTTCTCACTACTGTATTCCAAACACCTATCACAATGCCTGGTACATAGTAGGTGTTTAATATACAGTATTAAATACACAAATGAATAAATGGTGTAAAAAAAATAGTGTATTCAACTCTATGCTGGTTCAATGGCTAATACTGTCCATTTGTTTGGGGGACAACTTAGCAAAAAATGGTAACAGAAAATGACAGACCAATATAAAATTCTTACAGGAATGATAATTTTGCATATCTACCAAAAAATTATTATCATATATTAAAAATGAAATACACAGATAATTCTGAAATTATCATGTCCATTTTTGGGTTAATAATAAGCCCTGAGACAGAAAATACTGGTCCATGCACAGCAGCTGCCCAAGCTGCTTTCCCAGCTGAGGGGCTTTATATAGAACAATAAGTATATAAAAGCTTCTGAGCCATTCCAATATTCCCGCTGTTCTGATATATGAGAGACAAATTGTAGGCAATATCTCTTCGTAAGTCTAACTGGTCAACTTCCATACCCTAGGGGGAAAAAATATATGAATGAGTTATATTTCAAACTGACAACCAGGACAATTTTATGGCAAATAGTTTTGTAAGTGTTCAAAAAACTATTAAAATTCATAATACTAAAAAAAATTTATAAAACTAGACATATACCTTGGATTTAAATTTTTATTAGGTAATGCTGATTCAGTTAATTGTTACAGTAACTGTATCATCAAGTATTTTTAAATGTGTGACCAATAAGTTAAAGAAAAAAGTCTCATCTGCAAGACATGGCAGAATGAATTGTAGATGAATTAGGATTTAAGAGTAAAAAAGTGAAACCATAAAAGAAAAATACAGTTGAAAAATACAATAATATAATCTTGGGTAGGAAAGGCCCTTCTAAGTATAACAGCAAAAGTAGAAACTATAAAGAGAAAGACTGATATGACTTCATAAAAAATGTAAAACTTCTGCATGCAAAAAAAAAAATCATAACACAAATGACCAGATGGGAAAAAAATACCTGTAGTATATAACAGAAAGGCATATAAAGAATAGGTCTAGGAGGGCATACACCAAATTGATTATAATGATTACCTTATGAGTGTTATTACCTTTTTTTCTACTTAAATAACAAAGCAATGAACTCAATGGAACAGATTAGATCTATGTTCCTAATCTTCCCCATGCAAAATTTTGTAGTCAACTGAAAAAACATCTGCAACAATGAAAAATGATACCTATAAAGCTTAAGGAGCAATACATAAAGTACTTATGAAATGAAGAACACAGAAGTATATGTATTTCATCAGCATAACTGTAAGAATATGTATTCATTTGCTTAACGGCTAAAGTTGAACAAGGGTAATAGAAAACAGTTGTGAGGGAATGTGGGGATTATGAGTGCAACTTAAAAAAATTAACTGTGAAAACATACTTTCCTTCAGAAATTAAAAATCAGGCTTTAAACACAGACTATCATAGTATTGGCAACACTTCACCCTACATTACATTATCTTAAACAAAACTGCATTTATATTGGTCTTTCATTTTTATAAAGAAGCATGTTAGTTATACTTTTGAACTTGGAAATGAATAATGGCTACATTACTCAATATTCAGGCTTCCTGTCTACCATCTCACACCTGTTAACCACAGGGGCTATCTTAGGATAACTGAAATGGCCATAACCAGAAGTCATATATGGCCACATCGTTGCTGATCAGGTCATTAAGGCCAGGATATCAAAGAATTACTTGTTGCTGAACATAATTAAATAAGTGCATTCAATAAAGGGAAAATATATTTTAATATATAAGCTACAATTAATTTCACTGTCTGGACCACTACACTGAGCTAACTGCACTTATCTATAGATGAAATGAGGTGACTCCTCAGTTTTTAGAGTAAATCATACAATACCTCTACCATGAATGGAGGGAGCTCCAGGGCCTTCTGATAATAGTGGATTGCAAGGTGAATCAGCCCCAGCTGGTGAAGGCCACGGCCCAAATTGTAGAATGATTCCTGGCAAGGCCCACGTAGACTGAGGTATCGATTAAGAAAGGAAAAGCCCTACCAAAAAGAAAAAGATAAATAATTCAATAGTTCACTCATTTGACAGTATGTGCCAGGTACAGGAATACAAACTTTTTTTTTCAGAAACACAGTGCCACCCTAAAAGAATATATGCCTGTGGTGTAGTGTCATATCACAATATAGTCAATATCTCTTCTGAAGGTGTAAAAGAGAGATTTTTTTAAACTAAAGACAAAAGAATTCATAGAAAACAAAGCCAAATGTTACAACTAGCTGTTAAAGATCTGTAATCTATAAGCACAAAGAATACATATTTTTATGGTTTCAAGTTGGCTTTTGTGGCATTAGAGGCCAGTAAAATTTTAGGTTTGAGATGCATGTCTAAAAGCTTGACCAAAATATAAAATCCAAGCCCTTATAATGACAATTCAGAAAGTTTCATCCTCATGAGCAAACTCACTTGAGCATATCTAACCTTTCTGGGTAAATGGTATTCTTTATATACCTCTCAGAACCTTAATAACCTCTTAACCTTAAAAAACTTGTGTTTTTTTCCCTCTGAAAACTTCCGACTCAATAGTTTTATGGAGAAACTGATTATTTCAGAGCCTAACTGTAATAATGCAGGCTCCCTGTGTGTCACAGTGTCCAAAAAGCAACTTGCTTCTTCACTTCCCCTTTAATGCAGCTTCAACTTTTATCACACACGGAAAGCTTCAAGTTGCAAGGTGCAAATTATCTGATGTAAGTAATTAAATAAATATATTACCTGAGTTAAGAGTAAGTCAACTAATTTGTACGTACAGAAAATAAAATGCATATTTCCTGGGTGATCTGCTATGTAATAAATGGTCACAAATTTTCCTTCATAAATTAATAATAAAAATTAAGGAATTCTTTAGAATTAATGCATTCTAGGAATAAAAATTATGCTCAGTAAACAAATCATACTTTCTGCACAATAAATGAACCCATTTGAGTACATGAATATGACCTCTACTCCACTGAAAAACATGGTTCTCTGTTAAGTAACAGCAGACAAACAATCTCAGAAATATCTTATCTTCTTATTTAAAAATGAGAAATTTAAAGACAAAAATCTGAGAGAGAACGTTTTCTTTCCTTTTCTAACTACTTAAAAAACAGGTATATACATGCATCAAATATATAAACATAAAAACTAAAATAGAAGCAAAAGTGTTGAAGATACAGGGGTGAAGAAGACAGATAAGATCTCTGATCTCTTGGAGTTTATATTTTTACTAGAGGAGACAAGTTATGTAAAAAAGTAAACAAGAAAACAAAAAGGTAATTTCAAACTGCTTTACAAACTAAGAAGACTTTAAAAGAGCAAACTGTGGTGATGATGTAAGGAAACAGTCACACAGGCACATATTCATACCTTATTGTATGTTTATATTATTATATTTTTTAAATTAATTTAAAAATCTTAAGGACCTAGAAGGCTGGAAGCCTCTGAGGCTCCAGAATATAAGGAAGTCTGCACAGGGTTCCTTAAGATTCTGCCTGTGTCTTCTTCATTTATGATCTGGCTGCGCACCCTTTTCTACATGGTTGCATAAGTCTTAGCCAGGAGTACCCCTAGATGTTGGTCCATGAGTGCTGAACATAGGGATAGGTGTTGGGTACTCCCAACATGTGCGCTAAGCAGGTACTACTTTTGAAGCAGAGTAACAAAAGCATTAAGTATATTCATTTTTAAAGAACATAAAATCAAGTAATGAGGAATCCAAATGAATTACCTGCACAATAAGAGCATGTCTCTTTAATACATACTTCTGAGATGCCATGTGAATAAAGGTTAGGCCTATACAGAGGCTGTAGAGAGGTTCATGGGGATGGCTGCGAAAGGCCTGCACATACTGTCCTGAAAAATGAACAGTGATGTCAGATGGTGGAACAAAAACATAGTTGATTATTTCTTCAACACTTACTCTAATATATTTTAAGGTAAACAAACGTTACTGTTAACATATGCAAGGAGTACATTCTAAAATATCAATCAATGACTTCCCTGGTGGCACAGTGGTTAAGAATCTGCCTGCCAATGCAGGGGACACGGATTTGAGCCCTGGTCTGGGTAGATCCCGCATGTGGCGGAGAACTAGGCCTGTGCACCATAACTACTGAGCCTGTGCTCTAGACCCCGTGAGCCACAACTACTGAGCCCATGTGCCACAACTACTGAAGCCTGTGCACCTAGATCCCATGCTCAACAACAAAGAGAAGCCAACGCAATAAGAAGCCCGCACACTGCAGTGAAGAGCAGCTCCCACTTGCCGCAACTAGAGAAAGCCTGCACGCAGCAATGAAGATCCAACACGGGCAAAAATTAATTAATTAATTAATTAAAATTTAAAAATATCAGTCAGGTGCACATTAATTTGAATTTTAAAATAATATATAACATATAACAAAATTAGAAGGATTTACCCATGAGCATATCCTGACCATGAAGATTAAATATGAGTATCAAAGTAACTTTTTCAAGGTACAGTTAAGACATTTCCATGTAGAATAGTACTCCCAAAATAAACAATGTATCAATTGTGATCATAAATATATCTTATGACCTTAAATCTTTTTAAAGCCAATGCGGGAATGTGTCTTTTGGTGAATTCTTTCATAAAATTAATTGAGACCTATCTTATAAATTCAAATGTGATGGATCATGGAGGTGAGAAAAAGAAACATAGTTTTGTTTTATTTTTTAGGTTATGGGTATTATTTTCCCAAACATAGCAACTACTTTGTTTTTCCTGAGAAGAGCTAAATGTATCTAATAATAAAATAAGAATTCATGGTTTTGTGAATTCCATGTATTCTATATATATAATTGTCTCATATCAAATGCCTAACTGTATGAGATAGAGGAATTTAAGCAAATTTTTCTTACAAAGGTATGATCTCTAACTTATTATATAGATAAGAAAACTTCTATTCCAGGAGGCACAGCACTGTAAAATCTCTTTAGCAGCACAGATGGTAGCCTGCCGTTTGGACTTCCTATTTTTGTGTAGTGTAAAAGTTTCTAAATATAGAAAAATAAAATAAAATCTCTATTTTATATTTTCTTAATATTAAACTAACAATTCCAAAACAGCATACACAATGAAGGAAAGTTTCAGTGTCTGATGTTCAAGATTACTGGCTGAACAACTATAAAAACAGCAGCCATACACAATGAAACATGAAAGTATTAAACAGCCAAAATCACAGTATATTCAGAAGTGAACTTGGCAACACTAGCTTTCAGGCAGCAGGAGATACATGTCTCACCTAAACTTTTGGTTAGGTATTTTTCTACTTGTGTGCTCCTGATTCCTTATTACAGAAATTTCCTATAAATGATTATATTTTCCCTGAGTTTAATTAGAATTAGTAAGAGCTATGTAAATAAATCTTAATATAAAGACTTGTCTCCCACCAGTCAGAATGGCCATCATCAAAAAAGTCTACAAACAATAAATGCTGAAGAGGGTGTGGAGAAAAGGGAACCCTCCTACACTGTTGGTGGAAATGTAAATTGGTGCAGCCACTATGTAGAACAATATGGAGATTCCTTAAAAAACTAAAAATAGAACTACCATATGATCCAGCAATCCCACTCCCAGGCACGTATCTGGAGAAAACCATGTTTGGAAAGATACATGCACCCTAATGTTCATTGCAGTGCTGTTTACAATAGCCAAGACACGGAAGCAACCTGAATGTCCATTGACAGATGAATGGATAAAGATGTGGTACATATCAATGGAATATTACTCAGCCTTTAAAAAGAATGAAATAATGCCATTTGCAGCAACATGGATGGACCTAGAGATTATCATACTAAGTAAGTCAGACACAGAAAGACAAATATCATATGATATTGCTTACATGTGGAATCTAAAAAAAAAAAAGATACAAATGAACATATTTACAAAACAGAAACATACTCACAGACTTTGAAAACAAACTTATGGTTACCAAAGCAGAAATTGAGACTTTGGGATTGACATATACACACTACTATATTTGAAACAGATACCCAACATGGACCTACTGTATAGCACAGGGAACTCTACTCAATATTCTGTAATAGGGGACTTCCCTGGTGGTCCAGTGGTAAAGAATCCGCCTTCCAATGCAGGGAACGTGGGTTCGATCCCTGGTCGGGGAACTAAGATCCCACACATGCTGTGGGGAAAATAAGCCCACGCGCCACAACCACTAAGCTCGCACACCTCAACGAGAGAGCCTGTGTGCCACAAACTACAGAGCCCACATGCCCTGGAGCCTATGCACCACAACTAGAGAGAAGCCCGCACACCACAACGCAGAGCCCATGTGCCGCAGCTAAGACCGAATGCAGCCAAAAAAAGAAAAAAGAAAAAGAAAGAAATAAAACAAAGAAATATTAAAAAATATATATTCTGTAATAACCTAAATGGGAAAAAAAATTTGAAAAAGAGATATATGTATATGTAAATAAGTAAGTAAATAAATAAGTAAAGGGGAAAAAAAAAAAGACCTGTCTCCTAAAGCAGGCATCCCCAACCCGTCCATGGCCTGTTAGGACCTGGGTCACACAGCAGGAGGTGAGCGGCAGGCGATCAAGTGAAGCTTCATCTGTATTTACAGCCACTCCCCATCGCTCCCATTGCTGCCTGAGCTCCATCTCCTGTCAAATCAGTGGCGGCATTAGATTCTCATAGGAGCGCGAACCCTACTGCGAACTGTGCATGCGAGGGGTCTAGGTTGCATGCTCCTTATGAGAATATAATCGCTGATGATCTGAGGTGGAGCTGAGGTAGTGATGCTAGCGCTGGGGAGCGGCTGCAAATACTGATTATCATTAGCAGAGAGGTTTGACTACACAGAGACCATAATAAATCAACTGATGCAGACTCATATCAAAACTCTATCAGTGAGTGGCAAGCAAAAACAAGCTCAGGGTTCCCACTGATTCTGCATTATGGTGATTTTTATAATTATTTCATTATACATCACAATGTAATAATGATAGAAATAAAGTGCACAATAAATGTAATGTACTGGAATCATCCCAAAACCATCCCCACCCCCACCCCCCTCCACCCAACCCCACCCCTGGTCCGTGGAAAAACTGTCTTCTATGAAACTGGTCCCTGGTGCCAAAAAGGTTCGGGACCACAGTTCTAAAGGAATGAACTATCAGCAAATCTTAAGTTCCTCTTTGTTACTATAGCAAATTAAAATCGGGTAGCAAAGCATCCATAATTAATGAAAATTATTTTGAGAACGAACAAGCCTCAGCAGGGAGAGTTGTTGAGCTTTAAAGTCCTACTTTCGGACTTCCCTGGTGGCGCAGTGGTTCAGAATCCACCTGCCAATGCAGGGGACACAGGTTTTAGTCCTGGTCCGGGAAGATCCCACGTGCCGCAGAGCAACTAAGCCCATGTGCCACAACTACTGAGCCTCTGCTCTAGAGCCTGTGAGTCACAACTACTGAGCCTGCGTGCCACAACTACTGAAGCCTGTGCTCCACAACAAAGAGAAGCCACTGCAATTAGAAGCCCATGCACCACAACAAAGAGTAGTCCCCGTTTGCTGCAACTAGAGAAAGCCCACATGCAGCAACGAAGACCCAACGCAGCCAAAATTAATTAATTAATTAATTTAAAAAAACATTCAAAAAAACAAAGTCCTACTTTAAAGACCTACTTTAACCTTTTGAAACCAAAGCATCATAAGAAAAATAAATATTAATTATTATAATTACTGAGAACGCTTATAGCCACTTACTATATGTGCCAGGCATTATTTTAAGTACTTTATATTAACTCATTTAATTTCCACAATAATCTACAAGGTAGGTCCAATTATTATCTCCATTTCAGAGATAAAGAAACCAAGGCAGAGGGAAGGAGACAAAGTCATATGCCAGGACACTCACCAAGTGCATGCTTAAAACTACCAGATACGAATGCATTGTGTCCATTCAAGACACACAGGGCATGATTATCTGGGTTTTTCAGCATTAAACGGAGACAAAAGCGGTGATGTCGTACATCTTGGGAATGCATGGTAACTTGATTGAAAATGTTCCAGAGCTGGGGTTTATTGACATTTTCCATTACCATTATCCTAAAATTGCAGAAAGAGGGTGAGGGTAAAAAATAATGTAGAAAGAAAAATCCTCCTGATTTTTAAGATTGAAACCTTTCAGTGCTGTCCCACCAACACTGAAATGCACCACCCCCAACAAGGGGGATGTAGTGCTTCTACATCTTGTTTCTGCTTTTCAACAAAACTTTTAAACCACAAAACAGAATCAAGAGGTTTAAGTTTCACCTCTTCTCTCCCAGCCCACTCTCATAGCTGCAGAACAATGAACACTGCGTAATAATAATGTATATCAGACATTGTTAAAGGGTGTTACATACGACAACTCACTTAACTCTCACAGTAATCCTAAAAGGTGGTAATATTATGATGCCTGTTTTATCACAATAAATGGGGAGACTGAGGCACAAGAGGTTAAGTAAATGGGAATGCATGCTCTCATATACTGCTTCTGAGAATCACCAATGAACAAATTAATCTGTAAGTGACAAGAGTTAAAATAAAACAGCTTATTAAATCCTGGACATGAGAAACTACGTCAAAGTAAATATACATGCTCCATCAAAGAATCCAATTAAAGAATCTAAAGAATCTAATTAAAGAATCTAATTAAAGAATCTAATTAAAGAATCTAAAGAATCTAATTAAAATAAGTTATTGGAAAATCACCTGATATAGTTATATGCCTTTCTGAAATTTTTGTCCAGAATTGCAGCAGAGAGACCAAAGTATTCTAGCTCTTTGCGTTTTGGCCTGTCCTCGTAAAATGAGTAATATTCCAAAGAAGAATCCACAAGTAACTCAGCCTCTTGAAATCGGGAGAGGTCACATAAGGAGTATATGGCCTTCAAAAGAAGGTTCCACCAGTCATCTTTTGTCAAAACACTCGTGAGTACAGCAAATATTGCTAAAATGAGACCAATGAAAATCAGTTAGGACACTGCACTTCCAGAAATAGGAGTATTAGAAAGAAAATTCACATGACCAATTTTATGGTTAAATTTAATAACCATGGCCCTATGGGACTGAATTCTTGCCAACATTCTTCTGACAATGATGAGAAGGAGGGAGCTGCTTGTTTCCACTCCCTCAACATGACCCCCCTCTGCTCTGCCTGCCTAACAACCTGCAGTCCTAGGTAATTCTCATTTCTGATTGTAAAGTCCAGCTATTTCATTTGTGTTTCTCAGTGCTAGCTAAAATATATGCTCCTCCAGAGCGAGTGTGCTTTCCATGATTGAGGTCAGATATGAGATTTTGCACCTACAAGGCATTCAAATATTTGCTAAGCAAAGGACTTCAAATTCATACTTAACAAATCTTCTCTTCCTTATTTGTCTGTAAGAAACCTCCCTTTATAGCTCTTGAAAAATACCAAAAGCCATAAAATTTTTTTTACTGTCTTTGATCCAGTAATTCTCTTCCTGGGAATCTATCCTAAACAACTAGTCAGAAATATGGATAAATCTATAGGGATGAGGATGCTCACTATGGTATTATTTAGAAAAGAAAATTATCAAAAGCAACCATATAATCAAAAAATAATATGGAAATGATTAAATTATGGAACTGCTATCCAATGGAATATTACACACTCCTTAAATATAACAGCTACAAAGAGAACAGAACATGAGAAAATGTTGAGTGAAAAAAATCAGTACAAAATGCACGTAACATAAAGAGCCGTAGATAATCCTACCATGATGCACTGGTGTAATGTGATCCCCACCATGATGAAACTGACAAAACAAAAACCTTATGAGCTTAAGAAAAACCAACAATGGACCTGAAATGAGGAAATACTGAAAGAGAAAACAGCCTGGGTCAGATACAGAGAAAAATATGTTAAGGAAACACAGTCCAAAATAATGTGTGCAGAGGCAAAAGCCACTGGGATAAGCCCAGAATCAATAAACTGGAGAGATGGCAGGGCTCTGAGGCTAGATTGTGAGCAGTTGAGCCCACCCTCAACATGTTCCCCCGCGACATCTTGCTTATGTCCTTATATTGTGCTTAACAGAGATTCAGCTCTTCTGGATTCTAAAACCCTGTCCATTGCACACTGCCATGTCAGTAAACAATGATTTAATTTGTATCCGTGGACCTGATTAACAATGAAAAAATTTTCTGCTAGATTGATATCTCTAGTTTATAGCCTAGGTCTCTTCCAAAGTTCTCTAATAACCTCACCCAACATACTTGATCCTTTTTCAGCTAAAAACAGATGGCTTGCAAAGTCACATGACTTGAGATTGGGTCAAAGCAACTTATTTTCAGACTTTTTATGACTATTGCTACATTTGTCAAAAATAAGTTTAACAGAGAATGGAATATATGTAATTGAAGTGACTAGACAAATAAAGCAATCTGTATTATCATCTAATCATCACAAATTTCTTAAAATAGGGTATATTTTCCTCTTAAAAAGTCAAAATTAAAAGACTGCTTTAGTTTTTTCACAGAAGGATCTAAGCAGATGCCTGCCTTTTAATTTTTTTAAACTGAAGTATTTACGTATAGCCTTTCTTTCTTTTTTAAAAACACCAAAAGAGTTTATTTTACCTGAGGGATCTAGATTAGAAAATATCATTTTATTCAAAAAGGGTATATTTTCAATTAGATTATTGTCAAGTATTACTTCATGAGTTCTTTTTTCCAACTCAGCCAAGTTTTGTGCAACAAAGCAAATGAAGGTAATTACCTTTTGCATCACAATTTGCTGACTCTTGGTCATTGTTGTCTGATATTTTGTCTCTTGACACTTTAATAAGGTAGAGATGCCTCTCTCCAGATTTGGAACTAGATATCAAACAGACTTGGGCTCTATTCATTGCTACCTGAATTAAAGATGATAAATGAGATTTTTTAGTCACATAATTTTTTAGAGAAAATCTATGGGAAACAAGTGTCACAGGTGTGCCTGAAAGCTTCTTTAGTAAGGCAAAAAAAAGACCAGTCATTGTGTATATAAATGCCTAGAAGAGAATGAATAGACTTATTTTTTCCTTAACAAAGCAATCTGGGTCACACTACTTACCTTAGTAAGGAAAAAGAAAGCAATTCATATTAAGTTTATAACACACACACACACACACACACACACACACACACACACACACACAGCCACCTCCCTGCAAAAAAGCCAGACTCAGAAAGGATGTCATATCTGGAAAACATTTTTGCAAAGTGAACAATTTTGGCACATAGCAGTGTCTACAGAGCCAATAACTGATACCATGATGGTTCTCATTTTTCTAAATATGTACTAGCAAAGATTTTATTGTACAATCTATAGTAAAGTTTACACTTTCATGTAGAACTTTCAATTATATACCATTAATCTCTAAGTCTTCTTTTATCTGACTTTCACTTTAAAAAGTTTGAGTTTAACAGAGTAAAAGAGAGTTACGAAATGGCTATAATCTATGTTTAAACCAAATTCTAAACATTTAAAAAGTCAACAAGGCTAATATAAAGAAAGATCATTACCTACCCTTAAAAGCATGGCTAACATGGTAAGCAAGGTATCCACATAACCATACATTTTTCCTTGTGAAAACAATAGAGTAGAACGTTGAAGCAGCAACTTCAGTTCCTAAGTAAATAAGCACACGATAAGTGAGACAAGATTCCTTTGTTGTAAATTGTTTTGTTTGCATAGAAAAGTTTTGTCTTAGAAACCAAACCTTAAGAACATTTGCTTTATGATCTCTCACAATAATTAAAATCCAATGTTTTAGAAACTATAAATTATAACATTAACAATCATAATGTTAAGTTGCTGTAACTTAAGACTCAAAATCACTTTTTCAAGAACACTGAATTTAATACACTAAAATAAAACTTGGATATAAGCTGTAGGGACATCCTTAACAGAGGAAAAAGTTCTAAAACATAATCCACCGAGAAAAACTTCTTTCTATGTTACATGGCCTACCTGCTGTGCTGCGTTTGCATCTTGTGCTAAAGTATCTGGATCATACATTGGTTCCAGAGCTTCCAGAGCTTTCTCAGGACGGCCCAGCTGCTGCTGAAGGGTGGAAAGTGAAATTCTTGCATCCAAATGGAGGGGGGCCAGATCAACCACTTTGCCATAGCTTTCGGCAGCACGCTCCATATAGCCTAAGGCCTTTAGGCATTCTAAAATGATGTTAAAATAAAGCACTAATATGAACTACAGATTTGTAAGCGGGCCAAAATTATTTCTCCATTTTAAAAGAAATTATAGCAATACAAACAAATTATAACAAGAAAGAAATATATGCATACTTCCAGTACTTTAAAACACTTATCCCTTCTAATCTCTATGCTACAAGGATGTAATCAGCATACACACACACACACACACACACACACACACAATTTGGTGTTCTGCTTTATTCACTTACTATTATGCTTTCAACATTTTCCCATGCCTTCACTGGCATTCTGACTGATTATAATATTCAATTAAATTGCTTCTTTACTTAACCATATTAGTTGACATTTAGGTTATCCCAAATTTTTACTCTAATAAATAACACCACAGTAAATATCTTCATGTATATAAGACAGAGTTCACAAACTGGCAGACCAGTTTAACCTACAGATATGCTTTGTTAGGCCACAGTGCTGTTAAAAACAGTGAATTGTCTACATTCTTAAAAGCTAGGATTTTTTATGAAATCCAAGTTACTGGATTCTTTTGAAAACTCTGGATTTGGCAACAGCGAGTCCCTTCATTCCCACTTGGTGCATCAGCCATGCTGAGAAACAGCAGCACCCTTTAGACGGGCGTCTCCAGTTCTCACCCTGCCCTGGGCCTCTCACTTACCTACTTTATTCACTTTTGTTACGTGCCAGGCTCCTGAGTTTTGTGATCTGCAATATAAACCACCTCCCCTCACCTCACTCAATTATTTCCTCAGGATAAGTTCTCAGAAGTGAGGCTACTGGGCCTTATTCCTCACACTTTATGCCAATCAATCATTAAGTCCTATCATTTGAACTTGAATTCCTGGTAAGCATTTCTTTCCACCCTAATAGCCACAGCACTCACTAATCTAAGCCCTTTCACCTCTTTCCTTTTCACTGCAATGATCTCCTATAAGATGGTATTTTGCCTCCAATTGTTTTCTCAAACCTCAGATTTCTCAAATATCTCCTGATCACTATCTTTAGGTTAAACTTTGGTAATAAAGGAAGACTACTAAATGTGGATGGATCATCGTGATGGAATTTCTCATTATTTTTCACTTCTCACTTTAAAAGATATTTTGTTATTATGTTACAAGCATTAAATTCCACTAATGATCTTTCTTATCTACTGTTCCAAATTTCTTTATGATTTCTAGATGATTCTGAGGTTTTACCTTCCACTCATCTCAAGCTACACAGGCTCAACATGGAAAAAGCATTTATCAGTATCATGACCATAGTTAAAGAGGATTTAAAAATGTCTACTGTTAGTAACAGGAGCAGTATAAATACCACAGCCTTATGGAAGGCAATAAAAACTTCAATTCCTGGCTCATGTCTTTAAAATTCAAAACCTACAAATAATGTAACTTTTTATGATGGTATTACATTTGTATTCGTGTTCACTCATCCAAATAGTAACGTGCTATCTTAATCATTAAGTGCTCTCTTTGCCATTTCATATCTGTGATATGTGTCAAAATATCCCAGAATATCAATCAATGCTACTCTAGTTATAGAGGATTTTCTGCCATTATGTAATATTTTAAGAAAATATTAAAACTTCCTGCCATCATGCAATATTGGAAACAAAGGCTATTCAAACTTCAATGCATCTCTTATGTTGATTCAATAGGAAACCCTATGAGAATATTTTTGGCTTTCATACATTTCTGTTAGAGATTTAGTTGTTTTTCCCAAGCTGCTTTTCCTACTCTAAATGATTTATTTCAGATTACTGTGGATTTAGAGGCAATGAAATAAAATGACATTTAAAATACAATCTTGAGCATATTTTCAGCTCAAAGAACATTGAAAATATATTAACTTTTTTTTTCCTCAAAATAACATTAAATATAAATCCTTAAAAGCTCTTCAAAAATTAGACTGCATCCCAAGTCTGACAATCTATTACTAGAAACCAGAGCCTGCGGTTAAGACAGGTAAAAGACAGGTATTTAAGGTATTTTTAACAGGGATATGTTAGTCTTTCTACTTCACTCTGGTACCATTAAGTGAATCATTCCTCCAATATATTAGTGAGGGAAAATCACTTAGCGGTAAACCAAGACAACTTAAAATACTGACTTTCAAAAAACTGCCCTGAAACCAGAAATACTTTCACTAAGACATTAACATTTTATAATAATTATTACCATCTTGGGGAAATAAGTTCTTGCCTGCTTATGTGATTAAAACTTCTCCTTCCTACAAAAAAGTATTACCTGCATGCCGAAGCCAAACCACTGCGAGGTTATATCTTTCAGAGCAGACTAGCGCACTAAGGAGGGGAAGTGCAGAATTATATTCGCCAACATCCAGAAAAGCTTCAGCAACATCGAGATAGAGGTCTCCCATGTCTTCGGGATTCTGTTCCACGAGTGTTGTCAAGAGAGGCTAGACCCCAACAATTAACAGCCGGAAGTCAAACAGTCATTACAAGTATGCTCATCTACTCATATCTCTCTTTTTAACACATATACAAGTTATCTGAGGCAAATCTAAGAGGAGAAAGGCTTAATAAAAACAGCTTTAAATAATCACTTTTTAAATTCATTTCTGAGTCTCTATTAAAAAGAATTCATACTGCCGTCATTCACTCATTCAGCACACTGCTTCCGAAGGCCTGTTACAAGACAGGCATTGCAGGAGCTAGGGCAACACTGACTTGCTGTGCTCTTCCTCTGACAAGTCAATAACGCCCAGGCCTCAGGGCCTCTGTGTTTGCTGATTTTCTGGAAAGCTGTTCCCTCCGGTACCTGCCTGGCTTACTTCGTCACTTCCTTCACGTCATTATTCAAATGTCACTTTTCAGGGGAGGCACTTCTTGACCAATTTAATAAAATTGTAACTCCTCCCACCCCCAGTATTCCCTATTCTTCTCTGATTTTTCTCCAGAGCACTGATCACCAACTAACATCCTATATTTTATGTATTTATTTTATTATCTAATCCCATTAAAACAAAAGATCCATGAGAACAGGGATTTGTATATTATATTCAACAATTTATCCTAAGGTCTGCAAAGTAGATGCCCAATACATTTTTTTATTCAATGAAATACTTAGTCCAAAGTCGGCAAAAGAGAACAGCTGTCAGAAACTGCCAATTGTCTAAAAGGCCCAATCCCACATTCTGATCTCTGGATTATTCTCATTTTAAAATAACAACAAATTATCATAAGCCCATTTCCAAACACTTAGCTTTTAAAAGATGTTCACACAAAATAATCTGATGTTTACTGTGACTTCCTGGTTATTAATATGAAATCTAGGGTCAACTTAAAATTTCTTGTTATCTAAACATTGTAGATTATATCTAAAGTATCTTAAGTACAAATCTTAATGTTACTTACATTAAGTGGTTCAAGGATGTTGAGATGTACAAGGCAGACCATCAACTTCACTGTGATATCTATTGGCACACCATCCGGTATAGTGCAGGAAACATTCTCACCAGCTGTGGATTAGACAGACAGACAAAAAGTTCCTATATGTAATCTTAGAAAGTGGGGCAAATGAAGCAAACTGTACCTTCTATGCAAGATCTCATTTACTTCACTCAAAGCAAATGATTCTACAGTCAATTCTAAGTTTGGCCAACTTTAGTTCTAGGTTCTTACACCTCTTTCAGTCTGTCCTTTGGTAGCAATCATCCTTCCTATTCTTTTCCTAATACCTTAACCACTTACTGAAAACCTACATAAACTCCCACACTTTCTATCAAAACTACAAAGAACTAAAAAACAAAAGTGACAAATATGGATACATGAACTTTCTCTTTTTCTTCTTGAATCCAAAAGCCTCTTTTTAGTCTTTACTACAAAGAGGCTGAGAAAGGGATAAAGTAAAATAGTGTGCTTACGTCTGAAGTGGCATTTTATGCCCATGCTTATGTTTCAAGTAGAATTTTTTCAATGCTTAAGTTTGAAATAAATTAGTAGAGAGCATTTTAAGCCCTTTTTGAAAAGTAAACTGCTTCAGTTCTAAAGGTTTTTGATAAGTTGCTCGGTAATTCATTCTTTTTTCACATAGCACTATGAAGACCCTGGGTCAAAGACAAATGCCAAGTTCAAATGGATGTATTGAGAAATAAAAGGGACTGAAACACTTTTTTTTTTTTAAAAAAAAGATTACCTGTGAGTGAATACTCACAAGAAAAAGATATGGAATCTCTGTTACGAAAAAATGCTCCGTGGGAAAACTTGTTATGAGAACACTAACTATCAATTTCAAAATGCCACATTATGAACAAGAGAGGATTACGCACACTCTCCTATGCAGAGGAAACTACAACTTTTATTCTCTTCTGAAGTGCCTTCTTCTGTAGTTTTTTTTTCTAGCACAATTCCAGAAAAATCTGTAATTACCTAAAAGAATGGGGGAAGAAAAGGAAATAATACAATAGGTATGTATGAAAAACCTTTTCACAATGCAAAGATTTGTAGTTAATTCAAATAATCCTTACAAAACATAAATAGGCTATAAAAAGCAACAGTATGTCTCTTTAAAATAGGGAACCACTGGGATACATTGACATTTTTATATCATTTTAACTAATGCTTAACTGAAAATACATAACTTCTCTATATCAAACCAATCTAATTTTCCCAACAGATTAAGAAATGAATCATAGCAATTAGTCTGGCTGCTGAGTCCTGCTACCCTGAAAGACAGACATATCTAGTACCTATGATAACGGCAATAGCTTTTATTATATGGTAACTACATTTTGTATTTCATACAGGACTATTATAAAATCTAAATGTGCCCATACAAACTTTAAATATATAATTTAAAATATAAGTAATTTAATATATATAACTAAAATGGGGAATTGTCAATTTGTAAGAATTTCTAGAACACAAAACGTGTTCAAAACCTAACAGAGAAACACATAAGTGTTCCTACCTCCAAAGCTCTGTCATATTGTTTATTAGAAATGTATAGTTCAGCTGCAATGTTAACATCTTCCATGGAGACTAGGCCCTGGTGCTTTGAGAAAGCTTCTTCAATTATGTTAATAGCTGAAATAACATCATTGGCTTCATAGTAACTCCTAAAAAAATAATGGCAAAATGGATGAGAGCTTATTTAATTCAGATTATAAAATTCATTTTCTTACATAGACCCTCTAACTATCAACTATGATTTTCATCTTCTTAAAGTTTGGAAGGAGGAAAAAAACTCTTCTTTAAAATCATAATCAGAGCTAATCCAGAGGAAAATGTGTAATGTCATAACATTAAGCATCTCAGTCTCCCAAAGCTACTTCCTATCATTCTAGCTCACTTCCTCTGTAATGCAATACCGACAACTTTCCTACCTCAATGGGCTCTACAAAGCACTGATCCTACCATTTTTTCACTGTCTTTGCACCCTTCCTGTCCTCAGTTTCCTCCTTCTCTGTGATCCAACATTATAATTACTCCATTGCACATCTCATTTCTCCTGCTCCTCCCTCCCTTTATCAAAATCATCTGATAAAACTCCAACCCTGGTTAATCCAAATATGCCTTCACCACCAGCTGCCCAGCTGCCCATGCTCACTAAACTCTAAATTAATGACCACTAGCCTCAAGTGGGCCCATGGTGCTGGTCAGCAATCTTACTACAGTTACCAGTCCAGTACTTCTCAAACTTGAATGTGCACACAAGTCAACTGGGAATCTTATAAAAAGGCATATTCTGATCCAGTAGTGCTGGGGCAGGGTTGAGATTCTACATTTGTGACAGGCTCTCAGGTAATACAAATGCTTCCAGTCTGTGGGGTAGCAAGACCTCAAGGACCCAGACAGCTATGTCACATCTTCTCCTCTCCAAACCCACAAGTCTCCCATCCTCACTCTCAGCTGATGACCTCACTTCTTATTTTACAAAGAGAATCAAATCAGACATCCCACATACTCCCAGCACATCTACCTACTTACCCATACCCATGGCCATAGCTTCTGCCTTCTCCTTTTATCATAAGGCCAACCCTCAACTAGATCCCATTCCCTCCAATCTATTCAAGGATATCAATCAAGCAATTGTCCCTTCTCTCATGAATCTTCAATATGTCCCTTGGTTGTAGATCATTCCCACCTGAATACAAATATACTGTAATTTTTCCCAACTTAAAAATTATCTCTTGTCCCTACAACCCATTCAAATTACCTCCCCATTCTTCTGCTCCCCTAGTAAATTTCTCCAAAGAGCTGCCTATCCCCCAGACTCCCCCAACCCATCTCCAATGTTCATACTTAGTCCTCATTTTATGTGATCTACTTGCAGTATTTCACAGATGGTCATCCCTCCTCCTTGAAGTGCTTCCTTCATTAAAAAAATTCTACAATATCATGTTCTCCTAGTTTCCTCCAACTTCACTGTCCATTTCCTTACAGTCTCCCTGCTGTTTCCTCCTCATCTTCCTGACTTCTAAACACTGTAGTGCCTCACGGTTTAGTTCTCAGAACTCTTTCCTTCTCTGTTTCCCCTCCTCCTGCCCCCTCCCCCATCTCTCGTTCTCTCTCTCTCTCTCTCTCACTCACACACACACACACACACACACACACACACACACACACACACACACACACACACACACACACACACACATACACACACCTCTTCCCTCATACCCAATACATCAGAAAATCCTTAGAGCTCAGCCTCCAAAATACACCCAGAATCTGGTTATTTCTTACCACCTCCTACGGCTTTTACCCTGGTCCAAGCTACATTATCCCTTCCATGAATTACTACAATAATTTCCTAACTGTTCCCCCCTGCTCTATCCTTACCATTACTCAATCTATTCTCAAAAGAGCAGCCAAAATTGATGCATTTAAAATTTAAGTCAGATCAAGTCACTCTTCTACTCAAAAACTTCCAATGGCTTCCAAACTCATTCAGATTAAAAGTCAGAGAACTTATAATGACCCACAAGGGCCAAGGGATCTTTTCCTGATACCTCTCTAACACTACCCCCGCTAAACCCTCAGCTTCCATGTCGTTCCCTGAGCATACCTTTGTACTTGCCATTTCCTTTGCCTATAATACTCTTCCCTAATATCTATTCCCGTATCTCCTTCAGTTCACTTTCAGGTCAGTATGACCATAACATAAAGAATTAAGTCCTTCTCTAATCCCCCTATTTAAAATAACTCACTCCTATTCCTCAACTTATCTCCCTTCCCTGCTTCATTTTTCTTAATATCACTTAACCAACATCTGACATACTACATATTTAGTTGTTTATTTGCTTACTGCCTGTCTCCCCCAACTAGAATGTAAGCTCCAAAACAGCAGGAAATTTTAAAACTCATTCAATACTGAATCTCCTGGTGCCCTGTACAGTGCCTACCTAATACCTAATTTATATTCAATAATTATTTCTGCAGGGAAAGTAGGGACTGAGAGAAAGTCTAATCAATCAGAAGTTATAGTAACAGAATTCCATGTAGGAAAGACTTCTATGGCAGTGGCAGAACTGTTCATTACCACCCTTTCCTGACAAGATTATAAATACAAGTGGAAAACAAATTTACTCTCATAGGCCATCTCACAATTCATAAAGTAGAAGCCTACTGGGCTAACCGGTATGACAGCCAAAGATTTGACTAAAAGAAAGTAACACAGGAAGATCCTCAAAGTTCACCATATACATCAGGGATCGATTAAGGGTTGCCTCCCCTCAACAAATTTCCTAAAAACACTTCCAGTATTCCTACATAGTCCATCTTTGGGAGCGCAGTGAGTGATCTCACCGCTAAGCATCTTCATGACAATGGCCATGGAATTAACAAGGTTAACCTAAAATACCCAGATCATAGATTAACATGGTTAATCCTAGGCTGAAATAGTAGACATCCTAGAAGAGAAAGCATACAAGGCATTATGTAGCCAGAATGTTCCCTGCTTTGTTTTGCTGCACAGCATATTAGAGAAGAGAATGTAGTTGGGCATATTTTAGAATAAAATATATACCATAGTAAGTAGCATGTGCCAAATCTAAAGAAAAATTCTCATCTTAAAATGTTATTCTAGGGCTTCCCTGGTGGCGCAGTGGTTGAGAGTCCGCCTGCCGATGCGGAGGACACGGGTTCGTGCCCCGGTCTGGGAGCATCCCACATGCCGCAGAGCAGCTGGGCCCGTGAGCCATGGCCATTGAGCCTGCGCGTCCGGAGCCTGTGCTCCGCGACGGGAGAGGCCACAACAGTGAGAAGCCCACATACCGCAAAAACAAAACAAAACAAAACAAAATGTTATTCTAGTACAGGCTCAAGATAAAATGATTACATAAGATCTCTGAGCACAAACATTTCAATAGCACATTTGCAATAATTTAATATCACTGCAAATGTACATAACTTCAACTAAATTATGAAAACCTGGGAACCTAGTCATCCTTTCAGAACATGCTCCATTTTTAAACTTCTGAGCATGTGAAAGATAATCATACATCCAAATTTTTCTAAACAATCACACAGTTGACTTGGAAACAGAAAAGTACTGGGGGGAAAAACCTCTATATTTAAACACAATATGAAATACAAGAAGCAAAACACTTCACTGAACCTCAATAAAAAGTATATTCACATCAAATATATGCTTTGATTTCTAAAATAAGATGATTAATGAGGGCATTTATACATATTTCACTTTGAACTTACTTTGCCATATCTCTGGACAATTGCATAAATCGTTCTCCATCAGACGGAGACAAAAGGTTTAAAATACGCCTATAACCATCCATTGCCATTTTGTGATCTCCCATCTGTTCATAAAGGCTTGATCGCTCCCACAGATAACGGACATTAGTAGGTTCATATTTAAGTGCTAAAAAGAAAAAAAGGAATATAAATAATAGATTTATCATAAAAAGGGGTTCATGGTACCTGGTGTGACCCACCTTCTTTTCAGAAAATCTATTAAACACTCTAAACTAATTCTCCAATACAACCAAGTGGGTTATTCTGGAATAAATCTACCTTCACAGGAACTCTAGACTAGGCTTGATCTAAGACCAAATAGAAGCTGAAATCTCCATATTTGGTGACCATTTGGTCACTGAAGTCTAATATTAACCCTCAAGGAACAGCTTAGAACCAACAATGATCTTGGTGGGAAACTGAAGGTCCTGTTCTTCAACCACCTTTTGTGCAGTATTAGCTCACAATATAAAGAAAGTTCCTGATAGACATGAAAATACAGTGAGCTCAAATACTTACCTCTGGTTTAACAGAATATAATGAATAAATATATTTCAGCTAACATCACCCCAGAAGAGCAAGTACATTGATCAAAAAACCTATCACATAACATTTTATCAAAGGAAACAAGAAAAACACTTTTATTACCTTTTGTGTAGCAAAAAATAGCCTGCTTAATATTGTCTTGTTCCAGGGACATTTCTGCCAATCTAACCCATTCTTCAGTGTCACTGGGATTTAAATGTGCAGCAATCAACTCAAACTGCAGTGATTTCTCCATGTCACCTTGGTCCTCATATATCATAGCAAGAGTAGAAAATGGCTCATAAGCCAAAGGAGCTATAATGAATATAAAAAAAAATTCCATTCGTTGAGGGAAGAGGCTTGAGCTGATGTCAATTCCATGTTTCACACTATGGATCCTTTCTCTAATATTTAAACTTTTTAAATAACTTGAGCAGAATTATACAAACCACTTAATGGAATTTAGAATAAACAGTAGAGGGGATTCCCTGGTGGCACAGTGGTTAAGAATCCACCTGCCAACGCAGGGGACACAGGTTCGAGCCCTGGTCTGGGAAGATCCCACATGCTGCAGAGCAACTAAGCCCGTGAGCCACAACTACTAAGCCCATGAGCTACAGCTGCGGAAGCCTGTGCGCCTAGAGACTGTGCTCTGCAACAAGAGAAGCCACTGCGATGAGAGGCCTGCGCACCACAACGCTTGCCGCAACTAAGACCCAATGCAGCCAAAAGTAAATAAATAAAATTAATTTATTTATAAAAAAAGAATAATCAGATTATATTTGCTTTAGTATATTTTCACATTTTTAAGATACTCTTTTCTGTAAGCAAAGTGTAATTTCATGAAAAATCCTACTCTCTACCATGCCCCCTTCAAGAAAATCCCCCTTTGCTAAGGCTAAACAGGGCTCACTAACTCAGCAAGTTCATCCTAATGAGCATCAGCCACATCAGTGGGGTTAAATCTTCATGATCCGGCTTCCACACCAAGGAGTATGGGATTAATGGACAGAAGATACATAAGTAGCACCTAAATCCAGATTATCAAAGTGAAAGGTTAATCCACACTTCTAAATAGTTTCTGAATTGAGGTTCTAAGATCACAAGGGATTAAAATCAAAGGTAATTGTCAAAATAAACAATTATAAACAAATAAAGGAACAGATAATACTGAAAGTAGGAACCAAACAAAATATCCTAAAGGAAAAAATTCGATTAATCTTATTTCTGATGGGGTAAAAGAGGAAAAGCAGCGCCCTCAAATTACTCTAATGAATAATCCAGGAATCTTACAAGATTTCTAAAAGGACCCTAGACTAAATGAAAGGAAATGCCAAAATACTGAAAAGATAAATTGAAAGTTCACTCTAGTACAACTATCCCTGCCACTATGCAGGGCATCATTTGGCAACACATCAGGAGAGCAAAATAATAAATATAAATGATTAGTCAAAAAGTGACTTCTGAAGATATCCTTCAGTATGCCTGAGGTTTGCAGTTTAATGGAAAGATGACAAGTATATACTGTGTCTTTTATCAAAAAAGTACATTAAAATAATCTAACACTGTCTGATTTGGAAAATAGAAGAAAAAAGAATACTCTTCAAAAGTGGTTTTAAAATAATTTGTTTGCCATATTTTAAAAAGACTAACACTATAAAAGCCTAAAATTCCTAAAATGAAACATTCAAAAACACACAAATTTTTAAAAAGCCTGTAAGAGTTCAATCAATATTAATGATATTTCATTGAATCATACTCTGCGATTTTCATTTTCTTGGCAATGACACCTATTCAATGTGAAAAGTGGTAAATCACTGTTATCACAATCACCTCCAAGCTTCTGAATATATTTTCCAAATAGCAAAGTGAGGTGCTCCTCCATTTGTTTTAAAAGTCAGACTATTAGGGCTTCCCTGGTGGTGCAGTGGTTAAGAAACCACCTGCTAAAAAAAAAGAATCCACCTGCTAATTCAGGGGACACGGGTTCAAGTGGAGCAACTAAGCCCGCATACCACAACTACTGAAGCCCACACACCACAACGGAAGTCCACACGCCCTAGAGCCCATGCTCTGCAACAAGAGAAGCCACCACAATGAGAAGGCTGCACACGGCTACGAAGAGTAGCCCCGACTCGCTGCAACTAGAGAAAGCCCGCGCACAGCAACGAAGGCCCAATGAAGCCAAAAATAAATAATACATTTATTAAAAAAAAAGTCAGACTATTAAACTGCTATTGTCAATAATCCCCACATTAAACACCTTGTCTTATGATTTCCATGCACATCAATATCGCCTCTTCACGTTCTCCTCGAGCAAAGCGAATGTTGGCTTCACCCATGAGACCTCTCAGAGCTCTGGGAAGTTTACTCCGAGGCCTTTTCTCCTGTACAGAACAAAAATGACATTTAGATTCAAACAAAAAACAAATCCAACAAAACTTTCCTACAGTAGCAAGTTCAAATCACAGTAAAGTATTTAAAGAAAGCAAAAATCAAACTGGTCAGGCATTACTAAATTACTAATTAGAACAAATGTGGAACTGGATGCTATAAAATGGATTTATATGTCAGGAGATTTATGACGCAATCTACTGAAGATTCTCCTTTCAAATTTATCTACTCAGAATGAACTTGGTTAAAAAAATATCAAGTTACAATATGGACCTTTTAATAGCAAAACGACAGTACATATTGAGACATGCAATAATTAAAGTTTTACATTTAAAATCTCTAAAATGAAACATAAGAAACCAGTAACAGTAGTTGTCTCATAGTGTTTCCCTTCTTACAGTTTGAATTCTTTCAGAATATATGTATAAGTTAAAGATTCTTTTTCAATTTCTATGTCACATGTTTACATTCCATTTATAAATATGAAAATAAGAAACACTTTACTTTCATCATTTTCTTGGTTTCACGATTGAGAACCATCTCTAATACAAACACGTCGCCTGCAGTGGGTTGCTCAGGTGTCTCCTCCTCCTCGTCCTCCTCCTCGTCCTCCTCCTCCTCATCATCTTCATTCTCTCCAAGCATGGAAGCAAAGACCTTGTGAACTGACTTACTGACACCATCTGATGTTTCTCCTAAAGACAAAACCATTGAGGTTGAAAAGGAAAAAAAAGAAAGCTTTAGCATACTTACTAGTTGCAAGAAAAAACAAACAGTATTTTCTGGAATATAAATTTCTACCCCAGCAATACCAAACTTGAAAGAAAAACACAGACAAATGAACACTCCCAAAAAAAACAATCCAAAGAGGAAAGCTGTCACAAAGCCATGTATTTTACTCTGTAGGAATTGCTGACTCATCCTTTAGGCCTTACCCAGACATACAGGCAAAATTAGTAGGAAATCAGAAGCACACACGGTAACTATTAAAAGCAGAGAGGAAAAAATAAATAAAAGAATTGTAGGACATAGATCTAAGAACTAAACAAGTCTGGTGGTACATAACTAGGAGGTATAGAACAGTGGTTTAAGGTGGTACATAACCAGGGGGTGTAGCACAGTGGTTTAAGGTGGTACATAACCAGTGGGTATAGCAGAGTGGTTTAAGGTGAGGTCTCTAAAGCCAAGCTGTCTGGTTTCAAACTTCATCTCCATCTATCACCAGCTGTGTTACTTTGGGCAAATTACTGAAGCTCTCTGTACCTCAGTTTGCTCATTTGTAAAAGGGGTCAATAATGTCTGCCTTATAGGGTAACCCTGAGGATGAGATGAGTCTTTATATATATGTACTTAGAAAAATGCCCAGCATATAGTAAGAGCTTAATAAATGCTATTATTAAAATTAAAATACTATTATTATTTCAGGAACAAAATAACATGACATATTTCATCTGTATCTGAGGATATCACTACAGTAAAATGATTTTTCTAAGTTCATAATGATTATCTTTTTTTTTTTTTAATAAATGTATGTATTTATTTATTTATTTTTGGCTGCATTGGGTCTTCATTGCTGCACACAGGCTTTCTTTAGTTGCATCGAACAGGGGCTACTCTTCGCTATGGTGCGAGGTCTTCTCATTGTGGTGGCTTCTCTTGTTGTGGAGCATGGGCTCTAGGTGCACGGGCTTCAGTAGTTGTGGCACGCAGGCTCAGTAGTTGTGGCACACAGGCTCTAGAGCTCAGGCTCAGTAGTTGTGGTGCATGGGCCTAACTGCTCCACAGCATGTGAGATCTTCCCGGATCAGGGCTCAAACCCATGTCCCCTGCATTGGCAGGCAGATTCCCAACCACTGCGCCACCAGGGAAGCCCTCATAATGATTATCTTGAATGATCAAGAAAAGTTAAGCTGATGGTGCTCCACATGCCACGGAGTGGCTGGGCCCATGAGCCATGGCCTGCACGTCCGGAGCCTGTGCTCCGCAACGGGAGAGGCCACAAGGAGGTGAGAGGTACATGAGAGGCCTGCGTACCGCAAAAACAAAAAAAAACAAAGAAAGAAAAGTTAAGTTGAGAAGCCAATTTTCTGTTAAAGCAGAGACAAGTAGCATATTTTAGAAAAGCTACAACAGTTAAAATTTTAAATATATATATATTCAAAAATCCTTAAGCTTATTCACTTATGTGAAATACCTCAAACCCCAAAGATGCTGGATAAATGAGATAGTCAATATACTTAAGGAAGAAGAGAATAAAAAAACCCCACAAGTTCTGAGCAACAAATAGTGATTATTATTATGAAGTCATAATGATCATCTTCAAGAATTCTAAACACCCAAAATACATATGAAAAAACGGTGTAAAATAAATCAGTAAAATTTATTACAGTACAGAAAAAAAAAAAAGAAAAGTCATATGATCATCTTGATACAGAGAAGCATTTTTTTTTTCTTTTTTGGTCATGCTGCATGGCTTGTGGGATCTTAGTTCCCCAGCCAGGGATCATACCTGGGCCCTAGCAGTGAATGTGCCTAGTACTAACCACTGGACTGCCAGGGAATTCCCCCAGAGAAGCATTTGATAAAATCCAACACCTATTCCTAATAAAAATTTTAAGTCAACTAGAAATGGAAGGGAATACCTTCAGTTTGATAAACAGTACCTACAGAAAATTTTCCACAAACACAGTTAACGGTTAATTATTCAAAGTCATCAGGAATGAGACAAGTATGCCTACTATCACCACTCCTTTCAATATTTTACTGGATGTCCTGGAGGTCCTAGCTAATGTAATAAGGGAAGAGAAATAAAAGACATAAAGATTAAGGAAGAAATAAAACTGTCATTCACAGATGACATGATTATATACATAGAATATCCAAAACAATCTTTGCATAAAAACTGTCAGAATTCATGAATTAGCAAGGTTCCTGGATACAAAGTCAATATACAAAATTTAACTGCACTTTTTATATCAGCAACAATTAACTGAATATGAAATTAAAAGAAGTCCCTATTTGCCTGGTGCTCAAGAATAAGAATTTTGCAGTGGAATTCACCAACGTATAGGAGGAAAAAGACAATGACTCTAGTGGCCATATATTCCAATTAGCAGACTTTACCTGTTCAAAACTGACCCCTTCCTCTGCTCTGAATACATGTTCACAGTTACCAAAGGTCTTGGTAAAGTTCTGGGACAATACCTTTCTGGGAAATTGGGAGTTTAATATCTTAAAAGGACGGATGGGATTATTTGAGCTGAGGCTAGTATGCCTGACTGCTCATGGGGAGCTAGAATGGGATTCAACTAACCACCATTTTTTAGGCAGGGCCTAATGGCCACCTCTCAGGGGCAGCTTTAGGTAAGAAAACTGGCAGGCGCCCCATGGTGTCTGGTACTACAGTTGCACCTCAAAGATGTGATGATGGAAGAGCAGCTCCTCCTCTGAGCAGATAAGGAAGGACTCACAGGTTTTAGAACAATTTCAGCCCCATTTTTCACCGCACTTGCCTGGCAAGGTAAGAAACTATAACCCCAATTTTCTCTCCTCTTTACCCTTTCTTCCCCACTTGGTCCAAGGAAGCAGGAGCAAAGCCTGTTCGTTTTCTGTCCACCCTACTAGTGTTTTCTCTGTGTCAAGTCTTATTTGTTTGGAGGGAAAGAACCAGCCTCTATTTCTACCCACCAGGACTAGAAAGTTTAATTAAGTTCTCAATCAGACCTTACACCCAAAGCTAAATTCTAACTGATAGTTCAGTATCCTAGGTTACTTGACATGGGTAAATGGATACCATGAACTATCATCAGTGTTCTGATCACTAAAAAGGTGTATCAATCACCAGAAATTAATAAATTTGCATAATAATTCATCACTTAGGCTCTCATGAGTTTAATTAGTCTGGGTGCCAGCAACCAAATATAATATCCGGTCATTGACACAAAAAGATGGAGAGATATACCATGTTCTTGGATTGGAAGAATCAACATTGTGAAAATGACTCTACTTCCCAAAGCAATCTATAGATTCAATGCAATCCCTATCAAACTACCACTGGCATTTTTCACAGAACTAGAACAAAAAATTTCACAATTTGTATGGAAACACAAAAGACCCCGAATAGCCAAAGCAATCTTGAGAACAAAAAATGGAGCTGGAGGAATCAGGCTGCCTGACTTCAGACTATACTACAAAGCTACAGTAATCAAGACAGTATGGTACTGGCACAAAAACAGAAAGATAGATCAATGGAATAGGATAGAAAGCCCAGAGATAAACCCATGCACATATGGTCACCTTATCTTTGATAAAGGTGGCAGGAATGTACAGTGGAGAAAGGACAGCCTCTTCAATAAGTGGTGCTGGGAAAACTGGACAGGTACATGTAAAAGTATGAGATTAGATCACTCCCTAACACCATACACAAAAATAAGCTCAAAATGGATTAAAGACCTAAATGTAAGGCCAGAAACTATCAAACTCTTAGAGGAAAACATAGGCAGAACACTCTATGACATAAATCACAGCAAGATCCTTCTTGACCCATCTCCTAGAGCAATGGAGATAAAAACAAAAATAAACAAATGGGACCTAATGAAACTTCAAAGCTTTTGCACAGCAAAGGAAACCATAAACAAGACCAAAAGACAACCCTCAGAATGGGAGAAAATATTTGCAAATGAATTAACTGACAAAGGATTAATCTCTAAAATTTGCAGGCAGCTCATGCAGCTCAATGACAAAGAAATAAACAACCCAATCCAAAAATGGGCAGAAGACCTAAATAGACATTTCTCCAAAGAAGATATACAGACTGCAAACAAACACATGAAAGAATGCTCAACATCATTAATCATTAGAGAAATGCAAATCAAAACTACAATGAGATATCATCTCACACCAGTCAGAATGGCCATCATCAAAAAATCTAGAAACAATAAATGCTGGAGAGGGTGTGGAGAAAAGGGAACACTCTTGCACTGCTGGTGGGAATGTGAATTGGTTCAGCCACTATGGAGAACAGTATGGAGGTTCCTTAAAAAACTACAAATAGAACTACCATATGACCCAGCAATCCCACTACTGTGCATATACCCTGAGGAAACCAGAATTCAAAAAGAGTCATGTACCAAAATGTACATTGCAGCTCTATTTACAATAGCCCGGAGATGGAAACAACCTAAGTGCCCATCGTCGGATGAATGGATAAAGAAGATGTGGCACATATATACAATGGAATATTACTCAGCCATAAAAAGAAACGAAATTGAGCTATTTGTAATGAGGTGGATAGACCTAGAGTCTGTCATACAGAGTGAAGTAAGTCAGAAAGAGAAGGACAAATACCGTATGCTAACACATATATATGGAATTTAAGAAAAAAAAATGTTATGAAGAACCTAGGGGTAAAACAGGAATAAAGACACAGCCCTACTGGAGAACAGACTTGAGGATATGGGGAGGGGGAAGGGTGAGGTGTGATAGGGCGAGAGAGAGACATGGACATATATATACTAACAAATGTAAGGTAGGTAGCCAGTGGGAAGCAGCCACATGGCACAGGGAAACCGGCTCGGTTCTTTGTGGCTGTCTGGAGGGGGGGGATAGGGAGGGGGGGAGGGAGGGAGACAAAGACGGAAGAGATATGGGAACATATGTATATGTATAACTGATTCACTCTGTTATAAAGCAGAAACTAACACACCATTGTAAAGCAATTATACCCCAATAAAGATGTTAAAAAAAAAAAAATATCCGGTCATGCAGAGCTGAGGACTGGATCCTGGCATGAGGCAACATACCAAGATACCTCTTGTGTGTGTGAGGTCCCATATGGAGCCAACTGGCCTTCCACTCTGACATTTCTATCTTATCTCCCATAATTAAAAAAGTGGTTTGGAAGCCACTTTATATAGAAGTATAATTCATTACAATTTGGGGGAGTATATAGTCTAGAAGAATTAGTAATCAAGTGAGAGGGTCAATTTAAAGAATAATGACTCTAAATGGCTCCCAAACAAACGCTGATGTCGATCTGAAACACTTCTCCACAAACATAACCCACTAAACTAACCATCATCATAATCAATAGTTCAACAAATATTTATTGAGCACCTCTTTCACACCAAGTACTATGCTCCTAATAAGCCAGGTATCAATGACAGAATACCACTGCAGGAAAAAAAAAAAATAACGCTTTCACTAAACTATTAGGTACCCTTAACATTTAATGCATTTAAGGTAGGGATCTTAACATACCTTCATTGACATCTTCGTCCTGAGACTTGGTAGAGTCAATTCCTGATGATGATGGAACTGCAGAGTCATTTGGATTTTCTTCAGCTGATGACTTGCCTTTTTCCTGAAGACTCTGTGATTGAAAGTTAATTAATGATTCCAAAAACAAGTGCACATTTAGCGCTCCCCAGTTGAGAATACAGCATCTGCCTCATTCTCTATTTCTATGACTTGAGCTCTGAACACATACATACTATGTGGAATCTAAATTTGAATATTGCCAAAGCATTTCATAGTACTTAGGTCTCATCCTTCAGGCTGAATCAGTCGTTTGTAAAAAATAATTTTTAAAACCTTGACGATTTCATTAATCTACACATTGTATCCTTGCTTTTTAAATGAAAAGAGATGGGGCGCTATTAGTTGCATGATTTAGGAAGGAATCCAACAGCTAATCTCAGAAGGTGTAAATACTTTTATTTTCCCTCGGACTTCAAGTGAGAAGACATGGAAAGTTCACATATTTCCTCATAAGTATAAAAAAATATGTACCAGAGATTTTGTTATCAGACAAGAAAATTCACTCTTTTCTGTGGAAGATTACACCACACCATTGGGAGACTCCTCAAAAACGGAAGCTCAAATCACTCTGTCTAGAAACAGAGACACTGAGGCCTAAAGAAGAGAGGTGAGTTGCGCAAGAAGACAGTGACAAAGCTAGGACTAGAACCAGATACTGACTCCAAACTCTACTCCCCACGCCCCCCACTTAATCTACCAGCGTTATGCTACCCTCAAATAAAAAATGCACTATTTGGCAACAGATAAAAAGAAAAGTGGTTATCACCGAGACAAAAGCTTTTTGGTGGGTGAAATGTTTTGAAGAGGAGCTTAGAACAGGGACGAGGTGAGAACCCGAGTTTCGGTAATAAGGGGAAGAAACTGCTGGAAGTACCCGGCCCGCCCCATCACAGCGAACGGGGTTACTGGGTCCCCCACATCTCTCTTAAGTGTTTTAGGGCGACAAGATAGTGGGGAGCATTCTGGCCCATTATCTCCTCACTTTCTTCTCACGGGTTTTTCTCTCTTCTCTCCGCCTTTCGAACTCCTCAAAGGAGATCTTCCCTTCCAGATAGTCGATGAGCTCCGGGCTGAACCCCGACATGTCTGCGGGAATCTGATGTGCAGTTCCAGGAACCGAGACAGAGAAACGGAAGAGCAGAAGCTCCCAGACGCTACCCCCACGCCGAGGCGCTAAAAACAAGGATCCGTAGTCCTTCCGGGAAACCTGCCCGGCCTGCGCCGCAAGCGCGGCGCTCGGGTTCCGCAGGAGCTTCTGGCCCCGCCTCTTCCGGGCGGCGTGGGCGTGGGCAGGACCCGGACTGATCCGCGGCTGGACCCTCCCGGCGACATCGCCGCCCTTGCCGCTGGGCTCAGGCCTCGGGTTTAAGCTTATTAAGGAGTTGGAAAAAAAAATGTGCTTTAAGAAAATGTTCCTTTATCTACATCATTTCCCGCAATTCTCCATTAAAATTCTGACTCTCAATCCATTTCTTTTTTGAATGTTTGTTTTAAAAATTAATTTAATCATTGGTGTAGTGATTATTTTCTTAATTTAACCATTTGCTCTGCCACGTGCACGTTCCACTTTCCAGTTCTGCCCTGCCACAGAAAGCTAAAGTCCTCCCACAATTTATGGTTTAACTCTCATCTCCTCCAATCAATGGCACCATAAGTTTTCCCCTCTTCCACAAATCCTCAAGCTGTCCCCTTCCTCAGACTCCTTCTCAGTCTGTAAATAGGTCATCTAGACTTCACGTCCCACCTCTAATTCTCACGCAAATTTTCTTCTTTTCTTACCAGTTAAACTTTTAGAGAGAATGAAATATTTGCTATGATTAGCATACACTATTGCCCATTTACTCTACAGGCCGTGTACTGTCTTATGCATATTACATATCTCAAAATAATCCTTTTGGATTATATTTTATTATTTTATGTTATTCCTAATGCCAACCTTCTGAATCTAATACGTAGTAGAGCCAAGATTCAAACCCTGGTCTATCTGACTCCAAATCCCATACTTGGAATTAATATGATACACTGCCTCTCCTTAGTGGAACACTTCTTCAGCTCCTACACACTCCTGTGGTTTATATTTTACCTTATCTTATAACTATTTCTCTGCTGTCCTCTTCTAAAGACACTAGCTAGCTGTCAACATCTTGAGAAGAGCACTACCTGATCCATCTTTGTGAACTTTCCTCTGTAGGCTAGTAATCTATGTTCAAAACACATTTATGAATTCAACTGGATGGAACTGAAAGTGCCTTGGGAATGGGCAAGGGATAAGAGGTACGAAAAGCAGCTCAATACGAAGCTGAGGTTAGGGACAAGTTACAGGGAGCCTATCACCTGGCTTGGCCATTGGTGCCTCTTTATGACAATCCAAATGAGGAAAGCCAACAGTTGGATGAGAGAATGAGGGGCCAGGACCTGTAAGAGGGGAACTTCCAGGTGAGAGAAAAAATCTCCAGCTGGAAGTCATTCCTTTCTCATGATAAAGGATCCTCAGGGCCCTATCTGGGTATAAAATATGGGAGGCTAGGAGGGTGGGTTGGGTTAAGGTAATCCACAGAAATCCGTAATAGGTAAATTCCCCCCTGAATTTCTCCAGGCTGTCAGGGAACTGCATTTGAGAGGAAGTCGAGTCTCTAGTTCTAACACTCCTAGGGGAAAAGAAGGAAATCAAAAGGAGCAAATCTGTTCACCTGGTAAGGAGAATGTTCTCCTAAGACCCAGATGGCTTAGACTAGCTTGTTTTGTTATTGGCTGCCTGGAATATGGGAATAACAATTGTGATGATATAGATTCACATTGCAGAGATTTGCAGCAGGGAGCAAGCGGGTGGGAGAACAGTTTTTCTGCTGTGGAACACCTTGATGATGTGACAGTTTTTTGGGTTTTTTTTACAGGTCAGAATGTAGCAACAGGCCTTGAAATTGGAATCTTTCTGCTTTTCTTTTCTCCACTTCGTTGTAAGTGATGTGTCCCCTGGTGAGTCAGAGGCATCCACATTACCTTGAGATGAAGTGGAACTGTTATAGCAGTAATGAAAATAGCAAGAAGAAACTTTTCAGACTTTCAGACTGATTTCTGAGAATCAAAACGGAATGTCTGAAGAAAGCAGAACACTGAATTTATACCATGATGAGGGCATGAAGAGTACACAGGGAGGTAATGACTCCCTCCTTTCTCAAGGGGAGGAGCCAGGATGGGGTGTGACACTTTTGGGGAAACAATTTTCCCATGGTTCTCTCACTTTTCGGCAAAAACTTGTGACTGCTTTCACTCCGGACTATCTTTTCAAGGATGTCTGGAGAACAAACAGCCTTGAAAGATAGAGATATTGTCTCCCTCTGGGACAGAGGCCAGATTTGTTTTCTGACCAGTATGGTAATGTTTCCCTCTGGGGCAAAGGTTGGGCATGTTTGGGCATGTTGTAAGAGTGGGTATTTCCTAAGTTTGGGGTTCCTCAGCTGTGGCACAAACCAACTAGTGCCCAGTAAACACCTGGACTCACCTCCACATGGCCCCCATGATACTTGGGGGACAAGGAGAACCAATAGGAATGTAAAACGCATGCTGCCTGCTGAGCCATGAATAATAAAGTCTATTGCCTTAGACCCACTGGTCTCAGGGCCCACCAGGATCTGTGAAATTGTAGCAGCCAGTGTGTAGCTTGCAAATCGGGTAAAATCTCACACCCTTAATAGTTCTTGACCACACTAGACTCAGGATAGGTGACAATAGGCCATGTCCTAGGGATGGGGAATGGAATGCTCATCAAAGAGGAGCAGAGTCAGTGTTGAGAGACTGTCAAGGACCTATGTAGAGAAGGACCACAGACCCCCTGGGAGCCTAGATCACCTGCAGAACACTTATTTTCATTGCAGGAAACACTACACTTCTGCTGTTTTCCTAACGACAGTTCTCGGCCAAGGACAAAATCACTTCCCCAGTGGCATTTTAGAAATGTGAATAGGGAGGTTTTGGTGGTCAAAATAATAGCGCAGGGGTGGGGAAATCACTAATATACCACTATACATTGTCTAGGGACCAGGTGTGCTAAATGGTCACCACGAAGACTTGTCCTTCCCCAACTGACAATACCATCACTGATAAGAAACTCTAGTCTAGTGGAGTGTAGGCCTCCCATCAACGGCTACCTGCCAGTTGTGAGGAATTTTCCAGCAGAAGGATGCATGTCCTGTGCTGAGACTTTGCAAGCTCATAGCTAAAAGTCCCCTGTGGATGCCCTTCCTTTTCAGAGGCCTTAAAACTAATAAACATTCCCTTTGTGGAGGTCTTGACAACCAGAGCAGGAGTGGTGAAAGGGAAAGGGAAAGCCAGTCACTGGTACTTGAGTGGAACTGGACAGGGGTGAAGCACTCCCTACCACTCTACCATTTATCTGAACAGGCTTATTTTTATGAGGAATAGCTCATCAATAATTACTTACAGGACTTCCCTGGTGGCGCAGTGGTTAAGAATCTGCCTGCCAATGCAGGGGACATGGGTTCAAGCCCTGGCCCAGGAAGATCCCACATGCCACAGAACAACTAAGCCCGTGTGCCACAACTACTGAGCCTGAGCTCTAGAGCCCGTGAGCCACAACTACTGAGCCTGCATGCCACAACTCCTGAAGCCCGCACACCTAGAGCCTGTGCTCCGCAACAAGAGAAGCCATCACATTGAGAAGCCTGCACACCACAACTAGAGAAAGCCCACGTGCAGCAATGAAGACCCAACGCAGCCAAACATAAAATATAATTATAAATAATAATAACATATCTTTTAAATGGTAAAACAAAAAAGTCTGGCATTAACTAGAAGCAGCTTCCATTACTGTGTGACTAATAACAAAATAACACACATTTATTTCAATTCAGCAAGTATTTATTGAGTGCTTGCTACATGCAAGGCATTGTACTAGGTGCTGGAGAAATACAAATGGCTTATATATGATCTTGGCTCACAAATATCTCACAGCCCTCCAGAGAAAACACTTACATAACTAATTACAATAGAACATATTGAACCAGATATAGAATCTGTTCTTGCATAAATATTTTATTCTTGATATTCAATATCAATCATCCACAAAAAAGCCACAGAAAACTATTTTGGAATGTATAGACTAGTGTTTTTAGGATTACAGTATTTCCTTCTAGTACAGTGTTCCTTTTGCAGAGATCAGAGAAAATGATGCAGCTCTTCATAAAGAAAAGTAGCTATTTCAGATGAGAATATGAGAATCAGAATGATTCAGCCTCAGTTGGGGAGGGGTGGGTGGAGGAAGAGGGTTGGTTATTAAAGAAGGGAAATCCACCTGTTTCTCCTCTCCCTTCCTGAGGTTGTGTGTGGAAGAGCCAGAGGTGAGGCATGGCTAGGATATCTGGTGTAGCACAATGCCCACCTCTGAACATCGTGGCAGAGAACATCTCCCAGAGGCCCAAGAGGCTCCTAAAATCCCACGTTTCTTTGCCTTCCATTTCAACTTAATTGTGGATATTCATCACTTACTCTCCCTTGATATGTAACTAAGACTGTGAGGTCTTTCAATAGCATATGCTGACCATGGGAATGCATCTTCCTTTTAGGAAAAAGATAAATTTAAAAACCCAAATTCCTGTTACATATAATGAACTAAAGTAAACATGAGCAATGTCCCTTTCAAATAAAAACAGATCGATAAAAGAGAAGAAACATAGAAGACAAGCTTAAAGGAAACATAATTTAGAAGATCATTTCTTTTGACTTTATGGTGTTTCTGTAATCCTTGCAATATATGCCATGCTTTATACTTGTATCTATGGTTATTGACTGGGAAAAAAACCCATGCACATAAGTCACATATGTCCCAAAGCTCAAGCTGTTTACATAGCTTGAGCTATGTAGAATAAAATGTAGAATAAAATTAGAAATTAACAAAAATGGAGGGAAAAAACACATAAAAGTTTAGCCATGACCATGAATCAATTTTTCTAATGAGAAGCTTCGTCTGTAGTTTTAAAACCACCAGACATCTGAAAGAAAACATTATAACGAATGGAAAATGAAGATTATACGATTAACACAAAGACCCAAAGATCAACATAGTTCACTGAAAACTCTTTTTGTCTTCATTTCCTAATGAGAGTTGTTAGGAAGGAGAGCTTGTATTTATGAAATATTCTCCAAATCAGAAACTTTGCTTCTTTTGCAAAGTTGAATACTTATTATATTACAATATCACTAACTGGGTGCTTTCTCTTTTTTCCTGCTCTTAAACATTTCCTTGTTTCATGCTCACACAAAAGTATGTATTTGATGTTTTCTCTGACACTTTTTATTAGAAATCCATATATGAAATTTATAGATGAGTAAACTAAGGCTTACAAGCAACTTGTATGCAATACTGTCTCATACTGAAATAGGTACTTGGTATTAATAATTATTCTCTGTTTTAGTGTCTGTTACCCTAGGGCCTGAGTGTGAAAAATAGTCAAGGGATCCTTCGTTAATATACTTGTGTTTATTCTATTTTATTTTCTCATTGTAGGACAGTTCTCAAGTGCATATGCCACATGGTAAATTGCATCCTCTTAGAATAACAATCATTATTTTAAAAACATCATCACATTTAAAAGAGCTAATCATCAAAATCCTTTCACAATCATAATGAAGTGTAACAATGGTTTGCTTCCTCACAATTTCATCCTATGCCCATGAAAGAATGGGAGTAGATTTTAATTATGATTCGGTTCCCTTTATTTATTTAGTTAGTTAGTTAGTTTTTGCGGTACGCAGGCCTCTCCCTGTTGTGGTCTCTCCCGTTGCGGAGCACAGGCTCTGGACGCGCAGGCTCAGTGGCCATGGCTCATGGGCCCAGCAGCTCCGCGGCACGTGGGATCTTCCCGGACCGGGGCACGAGCCCATGTCCCCTGCGTCGGCAGGCGGACTCTCAACCACTGCGCCACCAGGGAAGCCCCGGTTCCCTGTGTTATTCAGTCAAATGAAAAGCTAACAGACTAGAATCATAGTATATTTTCTTCGACTGCACCATACCTGTTCCGTTTTAAATGGTACGTATTTATTTGATAGGAATGCTAAAGTAATAAGAATAGAAAAATTCAAATCTTAGACATAAATTTCTAATTTTTTTCCTATGAAATGCCATCTTTACTAATATTCTACTCTTTTTCCCCCTCTAGGTGAGGATGTTCAAGCTCAAATATACTCTTAATACTTTCTCCCAAAAGAAACCATTCTTTTAAATTTTTACTATCCATTTAATCCAACTGCACAGCTCAATATATTTCTTTACAGACGATTTTCCACATAATTTAGCTCTATGACCTGGTCTGAAAAAGATATAGGTATAAGTATGTGGTTTTAAATTATATTTCATAATTCTATTGAGTGATGGTTCTACTATTTTAATATATCTCTCCCCAGAAAACTATGCTTTAAGAATCATAACTGTCATTTCTTTTTAAAACCAGACTGTAAAATATATGAACCAAATCAGAGTATTAACAGTGATGTGTATCATCAGAACTGAGCAGTTATTTACATGAGGAAATAAAATCATTTTTCAAATAAATATTTTCTAAACCTCTTTATGACTTTATGACTGAGTTGTATGTTTAGATAGATGCTGGGAATAAAGGGATGAGTTGTACCTGCACTCAGAAGAAACATTCAGACTTTGAGGTAATTGGGGAAGGAGTTTTTCTGTTCTTCATAATCTGCAAATGCAGAAGCAATAGGTTCTGATTGGAAAGAGAGAGGTCCGGGATTCTCGTTCATGGAGGAAATATTTGAAAACATTCCAAGATCAAGACGTCTTCCTTTGAAATATGCCTGAAGGGTTCTGAAAAACTGAAGAGAGAAAGAAAATGTTCAATGTCATTTATCATATAAACACTCCAAATACTCAAAGATGAGTATTTTTCCCCTCTCATTTTCCCCCCAAATTGACTTTAGAGCTAACCCAGGAGGCAGGAGGTGGAAAACTCAGAAACACAAGCTGTGGCTCCTTCTCCCCTTCCCCCTCCTTTCTTCCTGACATTTCAACTCTAAACAAAGATAATTCACCATTTTTGAATATCAATTATTTAACAGCCCACAGTGAGAAGATTCATTGCCCATCTCTGAGTACTGAAGTCAGAGATGAAACTGAACTCCACGGTGATCAGAGCTCAGGTGTCTCCTCTCCGATTGATGGTGAGATAGATCCCAGTCATCTCAGACGTGGGGTTTTCAGCTGTGTATTCTGTGAATACATAGAAGCTGTGCAAAGTGCTATTTGATTGTTTTAATCCTATATTGTTATATTTCACATCATTTTCTTTAGAAAAACTATATTTTGAAATCGTAATGTCATCATGTTTACTGTATTTGGCATATTTTTAAAAGAGAATCTTTACTGGTATTTTGAATTCTATTTCCTAGATAACGTTATGATGAAAATAATGCCTAGCAAATTGAAAAGAATGCAGGTCGACTTTCAGTTTTGGCAGTGGAGCTTTGCAAGTATTGGTTATGTGAGAATCTGTTTTGTTATCAGTTCAACCTAAGCTGTGAAAAACGTAATTCCCTGTTATGCTCTTGATTCTGTATATATCAATATATTAGAAATTAAGGCTATAAAGTCAACGTGTATATAATATTTACAAATGTAATGTGCTATGTGTGTATAAGGTCATTTCTAAATATAAATTTGTTTCTCTGTACAGAGACAAGTGTAAATTGGCTAGAACACCAGCCACTAGGCTAGCAAAATTCTTCTCTGGTCCTGCTGGGGAATCTTCTCAACCCTTGGCAGCCTCCTCTCCACCGTGCTCTAGCAGAGTGCAGTGTGCATAACTCCAGGGAGGTGCCAATTTCACCCTGCAGCCTGGCATGTCCCAGTGGCTGTTCTTACCAGATCTCGGTTTCTAGGATTGTTGAGGGGCTTCCATTTTTCTTTGTTTCTCAGCACGGCTCCATGCACAAGCCCAAGTGGCACCAGGGCAACAGCCAGCAGCAGGAGTGCTTTGGGCATTGTGGAAGGGAGCTGAGTGAAAGGAAGGACCAGGGAAATGTCAATGGCCAGAGAGAGAGATATTGAGGAGGGAGAGAGAGGAGAAGGGACGGCAAAAGTAGAAAAGAGAAAGAGGAAACATTTTTAAAGGGAGACAAGGAAGAAGAAATAGTATATTGGTTCACCTGAATTTTGCAGCCCTCTTTTTTTCCACATTCATTTCTTAATGAACTCCCCTAAAACCAATTATTAGCTTAAAGGAGTCCGTGATAAGGAGAATGTTATACAGTGATAAACAAAGCAATTATGAATACAACCTAGAAAGTGAGTATGCCTTTTCATCTGAAAAAAATTGCACTTTGTTGTCTCCAAAGAAACTGCAATTCTTAACAACAACAAAAAAGAAAAAACAACCAATCTTAAATTACTTTAAGTGTTAAGACAGTAGTCTTAAAAAAAAAAGAGAGAAAAGAAAAAAATATATACCCCGAACTGAAAGATGCACCTTACACACAGGTCTGAGACAGACACACACCACACCAGTGTAAGTAGAGGTTGTATCCCACCCCAAGGTGTGAAATGGAAGTGAAACACACAGAAAGAGCTAATAAAGCTTACCAGGAGTTTGCTTTTGCCTGGCCCTGGTTGTTTACTCTGCCTACAATCTGCAAGGCGATTCATGGCTACTTATAACCAGTGGATCGGCTGCAGGTGGGAGTCATTGACGTGAGCTGGGGGTGGGGGGAGCTCAAAAATAATGATTCCATTTTCATCCACAGCACAAAGACCCTTGAGAATCACATCTTCGGGCTTCTTCAGGGTTAACAGTGAAGCTATTTGTCCTAAATACAGCAGACTCTCCCCCAACCACCGAACACTTCATTTGGATGTTATAGAACACAAAAGGCACTTCCACACAGCAAAATGGCTTTCTCCTTTTTCACTTTTAAGAGAAGGTATAGGGCTTCCCTGGTGGCGCAGTGGTTGAGAGTCCGCCTGCCGATGCAGGGGACGCGCGGGTTCGTAGCCCGGTCCGGGAAGATCCCACAGGCCGCGGAGCGGCTGGGCCCGTGAGCCATGGCCGCTGAGCCTGCACGTCCGGAGCCTGTGCTCCGCAACGGGAGAGGCCACAACAGTGAGAGGCCCGCGTACCGCAAAAAAAAGAAAAAAAAAAAAGAGAGAAGGTATATACATAGCAGCTGGGAATATGACAATGATTATCCCACCGAATAGAATGCTCTTTTGGAGCTATCAGCCTTTCAAATTAATCACATTATTTTAAACAGTAAATTCTATTGCAAGAGACAAAATTGCTCTTTGTGACCCATACCTTATATTTCTTCTTAGAATCTCAAGAAGCTTTACAAGTTTTAAATAGTGGTATGGTTAATCATAATACCCTTTCAAAATAGAGCAAAAAGATAGCACATGTTTTGTGGAAAAAAGAAAAATTACCTTACCTATAGCATCCCCTTGCTAAATAAATGCCATCTGCAGAAAATGGTAGGGTTGAGAAATTGGACTTGATGAACTGAAGTTGCTTTGGTTCCAATAATTCAGAACAATCCAGAACAAGCTTTTTGTTGAGAAGGCTAGTAATCTGGACTGGAAATTAGAATACGTGGCTACAATCTCAGTCTTGCCATTTTGACCTTGGGAGGGTCATTGTGACCTTCACTTATTCACACCTTTGTTTATTCAACAAACTTTTACTGAGTGCCTACTATGTGCCAGGCACTGCACAAGGCTTTGGGGATAAAATAGTAAGAATAATAGATTCCCTGCCCTCATGGAATTAACAGATTAGTGGGCAAGACAGACATTAATCAAACCATTATATAACAAAGTGTATAAATATCAATGATGATAATTTCTATTGAGATTATGGCACTATGACAGGGTAGAACAGGTGGATTCGATGCAGTCTCAGGGATCAGGTAAGGCTTCTGTGAAGAAGTGACCTTATATCTGGTAGATGAGTAGAGTTACCTAGGCAACCTAGGGAGGACAGAGGGAGAAGGGTTTCAGACAAGGTGAACAAGTGTACTAGACCTTGTGGCTGGAAGGAACATGGCAAATTAATGCAACTGAAATTAAGTCAGTATCTGAGGAGTATAAGGAGCAAGGTGGGGGGCTGATGCAATTTGGGCCTTTAGAGGTAGTCAGATTATGATCTTTCTGCTGCAAACAATGCTAACTGATTGAAAAGTTTTAAGCATCCAAGTGACTTGATAACAGACTTGTAATTTTATTTTATTTTATTATTATTATTTTTTTGTGGTACGTGGGCCTCTCACTGTTGTGGCCTCTCCCGTTGCAGAGCACAGGCTCCGGACGCGCAGGTTCAGCGGCCACAGCTCACGGGCCCAGCCGCTCCACAGCATGTGGGATCTTCCCGGACTGGGGCGTGAACCCGTGTCCCCTGCATCGGCAGGCGGACTCTCAACCACTGCGCCACCAGGGAAGCCCCAGACTTGTAATTTTAAAAAGCTATTCTGGTTGCACTGTGGAGGACAGACTGAGCTAGAAAAGAGGGAGACCAGTTAGGTGGCTACTGCAATAGTCCAGGCAGGACAAGGTGTTAACTTGGATTAGGGTGGTAGCACAGATGCAGAGTTGTGGATGGATCTGAGAGATATTTAGAAGGTACTGATAATGTACTGGATACTATGGGAGGCAGACCTAAGGGGAAGAGAGTTTCAAGGCCAATCCCTAGGTCTCAGGATTATGCAGCTGAGCAGACTACAGTGCCATTAGCTGACATATCAAACACCGGCATGAGGAGATGAGGCTCATGAGTTCCAGGTGGGACACGTTGAATTTGAGGAGCCTTGGAGATCTCCAAGTGGGGATGGGGAGTATACAATTGGATACACAGGCCTGAAGCTCAGAGAAGTGGTCTGGAAAGGAGATGTAACTATGGGGCTTGTAAATATGGCATGGAAAGGATGAGATTACCTCAGTGAAGATTAGCAAATGAGAAGAAAAGGTGATGTAGGACTTGAGCTTTGAGAAATTTTAACATGAACCAGCCCTATACCAGAATCTATATGAAGGAGACCCTGGAGGTAGGGGGAAAACCAGGAGAGGATGGGAGCAAGAGAAGAAAATGTTTCAAGAAGGGACAAATTGGGTAAATGAGGACTTAAAAGGATCCATAGAGCATTAGAGATGTTTGGGTAGATGGAGGTGAAGGTCAGATTAGAAGGGAGTCGATGGACAGGAAAGAGAGAATGAATCCATCAAGCTCTTGAGAAGTTTGCCTGTGTGTGTGTGTGTGTGTGTGTGTGTGTGAGAGAGAGAGAGAGACAGAGAGAGAGAGACAGAGAGAGAGAGACAGAGACAGAGAGAGAGAGACAGAGAGAGAGAGACAGAGAGAGAGAGACAGAGAGAGAGAGGCAGTACCTGGAGGGGGAAATAGAAATAAGAGAAGGTGTTGATTTTATTGTTAAGACTTGAGTCTGTTTAAATGTCAGTGGTCAAGTGAGTAAATGAATACCCTGGAATTTCATTACATCAACTCTCCTTAAAACTCCAGGACTTTGGTACGGTTTTCAGGGCAGACAGAGACACAGATGTAGAGAACAAACATATGGACACCAAGCGGGGAAACTGGGGGTGGTGGTGGTGGTGGTGGTGGGAGGAATTGAGAGATTGGGATTGATATGTACACACTGATGTGTATAAAATGGATAACTAATAAGAACCTGCTGTATAAAAAAATAAATAAAATAAAACTCAAAAATTAAAAAAAACTTCAGGACTTTGAAGTTAAAGCACCTAATAATATTGAAGTATTAAGTGTTGAGATTATTAACACTGTAAACTCCTTAAACAGTGCTCACCTTTATGTTCCCCCAGTACCAGCATTGAGCCCAATGCATAGACAATGAACTTTTTAAATGGGAGAGACTGAATAAATCAGAAAAGATTTGCATAACCATTTACCTATGAATAATTTCTAACTTTAGAACCATTTGTATAAAACCATAGCTCATTTGTTTTAAGAGCTCCCCATTTAAGAAATATTTATAGTTTCTCAAAAGAGCAATGGACTAAAAGTAACACACACATATTGTCATCTTGTTCAATAAGACTGGAGTTTTCCTGATTGTTAAAAGAAGTTATATATTTAAATAAAACTATTTTAAATTCTTGTAATTGTTTCTTAATTTCAAATCTCTGTCTTGAAAGGCAAAAGCTGATGACATTTTTTTCAGAATGTATCAACACAGCACTAAGTAGGTATTTTGCAATTATTCAGTTGATAAGTTCAATCAAAAAAGAGGAAAAAATCCCAGGAGAATTCGGGTTCCCAAACCATTAATTTCTAGTGTAAATTGTCCCACTTGGCCTCTTCATTAAATAGAGTGTAAAAGTAGCAGTTGGGATATTCAGCCTTCCACACCTAGACGCATCTGAATGAAGATCTTTGCTGGTATTTCTCAACCAGAAATTAAGAGGAAAATAGAGTACTCAGCACAGGGCTTCCACATAAAGGAGATCCAATAAATATGTAGTGACTGAATCACAAACTTAATTAGATTATAAATTCAAACATAATGGTAGAACTACCATACAACCCAGAAATCCCACTACTGGGCATATACCCTGCGAAAACCATAATTCAAAAAGAGTCATGTACCACAATGTTCATTGCAGCTCTATTTACAATAGCTAGGGCATGGAAGCAACCTAAGTGTCCATTGACAGATGAATGAATAAAGAAGATGTGGCACATATATACAATGGAATATTACTCAGCCATAAAAAGAAACGAAATTGAGCTATCTGTAATTAGGTGGATAGACCTAGTCTGTCATACAGAGTGAAGTAAGTCAGAAAGAGAAAAACAAATATCGTATGCTAACGCATATATATGGAATCTAAAAAAAAAAAGGTTCTGAAGAACCTAGGGGCAAGACAGGAATAAAGACGCAGACGTAGAGAATGGATCTGAGGACACGGGGAGGGGGAAGGGTAAGCTGGGCGAAGTGAGAGAGTGGCATGGACATATATACACTACCAAACGTAAAATAGATAGCTAGTGGGAAGCAGCCACATAGCATAGGGAGATCAGCTTGGTACCTTGTGTCCACCTAGAGGGGTGGGATAGGGAGGGTGGGAAGGAGGGAGACGCAAGAGGGAAGAGATGTGGGAACATATGTATATGTATAACTGATTCACTTTGTTATAAAGCAGAAACTAACACACCATTGTAATTATACTCCAATAAAGATGTTAAAAATAAATAAAAATAAATTCAAACATAATGGTAAACATGAGGAGAGGAATGAAGAGGATATTGTGGCAGGCACAGAGGAATTTTAAAACTACTGGACTGTTGGACTCTATAACCTATTCAAACCCTTCTTGCTCTTATCGGGGAAAAAAAAAAAAGACAGAGCTGGTATAGCTATTTAGCTGTATCATGAACAGGGACGAGAATTTTACCTCCTTTTTCTTCCCTCTGGTCTGAGTAAAGGAAAGGGAAAATTACTGTTTATAGACTGCTTCCTCAGTGATGATGAGAACTTCAGAGATAAAAGAAAGGTTGCTTACATGACTAATAGAGTATGCGAGGCAGCTTTCTGCTCACAGCAGTCATAACTGCTTTTTGTGGCAGTGGGCAGATTTCAGTTTGAAAATAGACTAAAGAGAAGAGGGGAAAAAGGGATCAG